GCTCCTAGTAGTACGGCCAGGAGCCCCTAGTCGCTTCTTGTTCCTAGTAGCGATGCCAGGAGCACCTAGTAGCGTCCTTTGCTCCTAGTAGTACGGCCAGGAGCCCCTAGTAGCTTCTTGTTCCTAGTAGCGATGCCAGGAGCCCACGGCCAGGAGTCCACGGCCAGGAGTCCCTAGCAGCTTCTTGTTACTAGATGTTACTAGTAGCGATGCCAGGAGCCCCTAGTAGCGTCCTTTGCTCCTAGTAGTACGGCCAGGAGCCCCTAGTAGCTTCTTGTTACTAGTAGCGATGCCAGGAGCCCCTAGTAGTGTCCTTTGCTCCTAGTAGTACGGCCAGGAGCCCTAGTAGCTTCTTGTTCCTAGTAGCGATGCCAGGAGCCCCTAGTAGCGCGCTTTGCTCCTATTAGTACGGCCAGGAGCCCCTAGTAGTCTTGTTACTAGTACCGATGCCAGGAGCCCCTAGTAGCGTCCTTGTTCCTAGTAATATGGCATGGCGGCAAGTTAGTTCAACATCTTGTGCAAACCTGCTTTGCAATTAGAGACACAGGATTGGCAACATTGTAGACAGGGGCCCCTTTCCTCGCCTCAGCAAGCGCCTTTGGGTTTTGCCGAGAAACGCCTAAGCGTGCAAAATGTTGACCACCTATTCAATAGAAAAGGAGGCTCGTAAGTGAAATCTTGTTGCAACAGTTACATGGTGATGCGCAGTCAAATCACTCCAGAACAGCTGAATCACAGACTTGGCCACATCAGGCCTCGACATCACGGGACTTGAAACTGTATCCCCAAAGACTTCGCAATATTTGTAACATGCTCCAAAGAACGTGTTCATGTTGCTCTTGAGACTTGTCCAGAATTGCTTCAAAACCGTTTTGCCATGGCCTGTCTGTATGCTTCTGAAGGACAAGCTGACCCAATGATATGATTTGATGGTCAGCGTCGTTCAGAAAAGACCTCAAACAATCAGACAATGTAGTGGCAACGCAGCAGTCATTATTTCATTATTTCCTGTCGGTGCGTAAGGTACTCACTGAGGTCTTGACGCCATAGCAGGATTACCTGGGATTGGAGTCCCTTTGCCAATGACACCACCAATTAGCGGCTGAAGTGGTTGTTAGAGTAGCAAATACATTTCAAACAATGAACAGCTGCCAGGGCACGCAAAGTCAAATTTGCGAGCAAACCAAAGCCCTGTTCACAAACCACGGGGGCTGCCAACTGCGTGCGCACAGCTTCGACATATCCTTTGGTTTCGCAAGACCTGAAGTGGCCATGCCATGCGTGCGACATGGTGGTGGATCTCACGGAATTGCCTTTCTCAGTGCATGTCAAAAATGCTTTCGCGAATCTTTTGCGAGGGCCCTAGAGTTCGTCTTGCCTGACCCTTACTATGTATCTACAGAAGTACCATGGAGTACACAAAACCATACAAAACCATTTGGTTCCCTATTTTCGAGTCATTTCCCAGCAACATTTGAGCAGGGCCTTTGACACGTGGGCAGGGGCAGCCAAACTTTAGCAAGAAATGTTGCACGGTCAGCGACTTTGCCATGGAGTATACGACATTTGATATAGATGAGCCGACAATAGCATGTCGTCAAAGGAGGAAGCTGTGGTCAAATTCGCGACAAGTAGAAGCTGAAGGGAGCAAAATGGAATTGTCACCAAGAGCTCAGCGTTGGAAACAGCTGAATATTCGAGCTATTGTCACTGACCCAACCCGGGATTTTAAATTGCACTATTATCAAATCAGCTGCTTCTTTGTGGGCAGTGCGATGCTTCAGAGATCCTAGCAGCTAAACGGATTCTTTCTTGTATTGCTCCGGGCTAGATGGAATAAACATGAATATACATGAATAACACATTTGCTTTAGGATATTGCCTGGGCCTACATTGCCTACTTGTCGGAGAAGTCTTACTGCATCTCATGACTTGTTCTTCTGCCTGCTTGCTATATGTCCCTCCTCCTCTTTCCCTTCCGTTCTTCCTTGGTGCTAGCAATGGAATCTAATATAGAAGTATAAGAACCTGAACAAGTCAACACCAAGCCCCTATCCGCACATCTTGCGGACCCTAAGGGAGTGGCATGCTTTTTTTAGACTCTAAAACATCTGACTTGAGGCCAAGGGGGGGGGGGCGAAAGCTAGCGCTCCAGAATGGGAAAGTGGAGGGCAGCGAGGTAGGAAAAAACACGGCGCTCTTTTTGGAGGCAGGGGTGAAGAGTCCTTTATATGTGGCTCTTTGCCCGGATCCTCCTGCGAGAGAAGAGAGAGAAGAGAGACGGAAAGACGAGAGACAGAGAGGAGAGAGAGAGAGAGGAGAGAGAGATGAGAGAGATGAGAAAGAGATGAGAGAGATGAGAGAGAGAGAGAGACAGTGAGACAGTGAGACAGTGAGACAGCTTGAACTTCAGCTCCAGGAAGATGACAAGTGGTACCAGGAGGTGTATGAGGCAGCAGCGCATCGAGTTGGAACCCTCCTCACTGATCCGGAGCACTACATGAATGGGCATGTGGAGCCAGTGGTTGCACCCTACAAGGTACAGCCAGAGAGACCGCGGGGGCGCTTGGATGTGCTCCGCAGGATGAGTCAAAAAGACAATGGCCCTGGTGAGCACCAATGGCAGTTGAAGGGCCAAGGACTGCTGTGCCTGTTGTGCGGCCTTCACATCAAGAGCTGCTCAACGCATGCTGAGATTGAGGCCAAGGCAGCCACGGTGTGCCCCAGCGAGAAGGTCAAGACTTTGACAAATATCATGGAGGACATGCTCAATGCTTCGTCCCTGCAACAGGATCACCAGCCAGGGCACCGTTGGTATCTGCGAGCCAGCTCCTTTGGATGCAGCCGATGTTGGATCAAGGTTGCTCGCAGATGTGGTAAGGAGACTCTCCACAGGCTGGCAAATGAACCCTGCCAATATGCCGCAGTGACAGAGCAGGACCTCAATCTGCGCATGAGAGTCCACCCCCAGCACCAGCTGATGCAGAGGGGTCAGTGGCTTGAATGTCAGAAGTGCTTCAAAGTCTCCAAGATGACAGGAGGCAAAGTGCAACCGTGGATGGCACAAGAATGCCCTGGAAGGGCGAAGCAGACAAAGCTGGCCTTTGCACCCAGCTCTAGCAGCTAGGCCTCCCCGATACAAGGAGAACGAGCCTTGTCGGGACCCGCTTTTCCCTTGACGGTGCGGGAGTCGACTGCAGCAGAGAGAAAGAACCGAGCAAAAAAAAAAAAAAAACAGTGAGACAGTGAGAGTGAGAGTGAGCGAGTGCGGCCGCAAGATACGCAACGCTAACCGCATGCCAAAGAGCGACGACAGGACGGAGTCGAACTTACGAAGAGGGAGGAGGGAGGGAGGGAGGGAGAGAAGGTGGGAGGAAGTGGGAGGAAGACAAGGAGGAGGAGAGGGGAGGAGGGAGGAGGAAGGGGGGGGGTCTTCGACCTGAAAAATCAGGGGTTAGGATTTGCACCGGGTGGAAAGAAACCTTGCTATCGCAAGAGTAACTCCAGCTAGCTTCGCTAGCTTTCGTGAAAATGTCAACATATCAAGAAATGGCTGCTCCGTGACAGTCTGAGTTTGAAACAATGAGAGCTCATCTCGGACATCTTCACAAAAAGCAAAGGCCCGCAAAACGGATAGGGCAGCACGAACCAGTCTTGCTTCAGTTGATGCCAGTGAGTTTCGGACATATGGCAAAAGCTTGCTACTGGGCTTGGCCAACTCCTGAATGCGTTCCTGGCCCCTAGCAATTTCCCGCAGGAGAAGCAAAGTTTGCTCTGTAAGCTTCACGGACTGCCCAGGAATCTGAGATGTCTCCTGAAGAACCGTTCGCACTCTTTGGTACATCTCTTCGGTGAGTAGCACTTCACGATTCTCCAGGGCTGAGGGCATACATTCAGATTTTCGATTGTCATCGTCTACCACCAATGATCGGAGAGCTGCCATAGCCTCGGCTTGCAAGTGAACACTCTGAGGGAAGCTTTCCAAAACATCCATCAAAATGAAGATCGCCCCACGCAAGGGTGTCTCGTCAGAGTCCTCAACAGACTTTTCCTGGATGAGGTGTGCTGCGACTTGTTTGTTGGCATCATTGGCAGTGCACATTGCTGCAATGGATATGCAACCAGCAAGCAGCCTCGCTTCATCCTTTGTTTCCTGTGCATCTTGCAGCATCTTCACTGTTGCAATCAAAAAGCCAGCATCCCTTAAAGAGCCTCGATTGACCAAACTTGTACGACAAACCTCGGGCATGATGCGGCAAAATGAGAGCATGGCTTCACCCCGCCAGTGAGCTTTACTCAAGCTCTCGCAGATCTGATTGATGCCCTCGAAGTCGCTCAACAAATCTCGATCATCCGGAGTGGCCCGCAAACGACGTCCAATCTTTTGAATCGTCTCGGATAAGTCACTTGTTGTCTCAACCTCATCAATCAGCTCCAGCAGCTCTGGTACTTCTTCATCCTGCTGTTCCCTTTCCTCAAGCTCTTCCACGGCCATTGCTAATTGGCTTCCGTTGCAAGTGCCAATCTCTATCTAGTCTGCATTTAACCTTTGGATGTTGGTCCGTTGGTAGTTCGGACAGTTGTGCGGTTGTATCAATGTGTTGATGGTGCAAACACAAAGACTATCCTGCGTATTCTCGGTGCACCAACGCTGGCGTGGGAAGGACAAGCATAAGCTGCTACTTTCACAATTGGATTCAACAATACAACCAGATGATACCAAAACTTAGTATAAGGCCAAATAGATCAAAATAACCCAGGTCTTCTCCTTCTAGTACACTTCTACATTGCTATAAACTCTATCTTGCATTCTTCTGGTCTTGCATAATTACTTGCGCAACTCCAGCCTCGGAAGGGATTGGAGCTCCATTCATCATCTTCAAAAAAACCCATGCCCTTCGTTGCCTCGTTCGTGCTCAGTCTCTGCGGCTATCGTCGAGACAGTTTGTTTCCCCTCTGTTTCTTAGATGAGCAAGAATTGCGAGGCAGGTTGGGAAGTACGTGCTATCTATTAGCATAATCGTATTCGGTGTTTTTTTTCGCAATCTGAATTTCGGTGCATGGTTTATAGTCCTAGTTCAACATTTCCATTCAATTACAGTACTTTGGCATGCATTGCTTGGGCCTCGGAGCATGGGGTGAAGACAATCTTCGAGGAATCTTTAACTTCTGACCTGGCAAAGCAAGTGCTACACAGTTCTTTGCCCTTCTCACACATGTCCGTCCCTCTGATGAAAGTGAATCATTTTGTTCTCCACTATATAATCTGTCTGCTCCACCCTTCAGCTTCTGATGCCTCAAAGTGCAGGCGAAATCTTAAACAGGCCCCAATTGCCTCGCCCTGGTCCAACTACATAAAACATGAAGAACCCATTTGTATGCATGCTGCATTTGTATAACATTGTATAACTATATACGCACACATCTAGTTAAATCTTCAACTCATTGAAACACATGAACATAAACAGTGGCCAACAGTCAACAGAGACTGAGATCCCAGCTTCTGAAACCTCAAATCAACTCGGTCAGCAAGCACAAACTAGTCATGCTGGACCTGCTTCTAAAGTACGTCAATGCACCTTGTAGTTTTCAAGCAACTGCTGAAGTTCTCGTTTTGCCTTGTCAACGCCACCTGCCATACATGAAGCCACGACAAGCCACGAATATCCACTCAGCCACCACGCAATACTAAGCACGGATGGATGTTGAAATTGAAGTTGAAACTTTGATTCATAACCCAGCAAGGCCAACCTGAATGCATTGTGGTGAAGTAGACGCCTCGGTCACCTCAATCTCAAACGTTGCTGCATGGCTAGTAGATTGTCACTTCTCTGCGGGCACTTTTCAATGTTCATAACATACATCGACCACCCTAACAACCCCAGTCCAGCCCAGTCCACAGGCCTGCAGCAATGGCCACACCCTTGGCGATCTTTGCACGCTTCGCATCAGCGCTTTGCTTGTTCGGTTTGTTCTGTGGCCTGGACTTTCATGGACATCCGATTGGTTGCGCGGATGCGGTGACGTGCGCCCTGGTGCCTCTTCTTCCCAGCTGGTGTGGCCTTGTGAATTCAGCTGATTTCAACACGTTGTTAGGAAAGCCAAGGTACTAGTACCACATAACCCCCACCTCTGGATCAGCCTTTTCCTCCTTCGAGGTTTCCTCACTTGTCCTGGCTTCCGCGCCTCGAATCTGACGGGTGATTCGCCGCCCAACTCGCAGATTCGCGACGGATCGGTCAAGAACTGGGTGTCGGGAAAGAGAACCAACTATAGCAAAGATCCCAGGCAGCAACGCGTATGTCAACCTGTTCGGTGTGAATACATCATGCCCAATGGCATTCTCAGGCAAAATGGGCAAAGGGGCACACAAAAATGGCGGTCGCCACACGAAGACTACAGTAAGCTTGAATCACTTGAGCCCAAAGCAAGGGAGCCCTTCTGACTTTGGAGCAATTGTAGCCCTTGGATTTCAATTATAAAAATATATATATTATATTATAGTATTGTTTGCTATTGAATCCATTGCGCAAACCCTTCTGCCTTCAGGGACCATTGATGCTGCAAGCCTTAACGAGTTGTCTATGTGCATCTATGTTCTTCTTATGCATCAGTCGCGCAAGTTACAGTATATTATTTGGATTTACTTGGCAGCACACGTCCGAGGTTCGAGGTGCACTATCTGACTGTCTGAGGTTTCAAACAAAGCCTACTACGCTGCAAATGTTGATTCAGGATGCCCTCCATCCGAAGCTAGTGCAACCTTTGTAGCCATCGCTTTGATTCGGGACCTGTTTCCTTTTCTTCCTAATCTCTGCATGATGATCTGTGGAGCATCGCAAGGCTCCGTGCGCCTTGAAAAGAATTTAAAACTGCAAACCTGAGACATGTTACATGTGGTGGCCAATCAATATCTACCAAATGAGCACCGGTAACGGTTTGTCGTCTTTCCTGTCTATATAGTCCAGAAGCCCATGGAAATCACCTTCAAAGGCTCTGAGCCAACCTTGCCTGCTTCAGACGGTGGGTCCGGCATGGCTTATCACGCGGGGCAAACACGGCAAGAATTCGTCAACATCTGTAGCGTCCTTGTTCCTAATGGAAATGCCCTTTGTTCCTAGTAGCTTCTTGTTACTAGTAGTAAGGCCAGGAGCCCCTAGTAATTAGCGTCCTTGCTCCAAAATCATCTTAGAATTGCTCTCGTGAGCGCCGGTACAGAAGGTGCCAACAACTTTCAAAACGGCAAGTCCTGCTGAAAAACCAAGGTCAAGCGGATTTGCTTCTGCAAAGTCCGTTCTGCTATCCCGGGATGATGTTGTGCAAACTTTGAGGCTCAGGCAGCTCCGATTCACAACAGCATATCTCAATGAGTTTCGCGGTGAGATGCTGCCGTTTCTACAGTACTGATACAAATTCCTGGCCCTTGACACTCCCAACTTGTTCTACAGAATTCTAATGAATTCTACAGTATGTGCACAAGCAAACTGTCAGAAACTTCCACCCGCCAAAGTGCGGCCACACAAAAAGTGCATTTTAGCGTCGTGGACTGCAACTCCTATATAGAACCCATCTCTCGAGGGTCACTTGAGTCACTTCAGTCCAAAAATGGAATAACTCTCACTCTCCTCATCTCCTCGAAAACTACTCTGCAAGTTCTACTGTCCATGCAGTTGAATGTATTTGTCGGAATCAAGGAATCTTACCAAAGAATTGCAAACTGTGTGCCTATGAGTTCCTATGAGTCTATTCTTTGTCGTCTTCAACAATGCTTCACTGGTGAGAAGCTCTGCGGCACACAGGCTGTGCAGTCCTGCAGCAGTCTCCGTCAGATTCCTTTTGCATCCATCACTTCTCCACACATCTCTGCACCAATTCCGAAGCGATTAGCTCACTAGCAAGCAGCATCTGATCCGCCATCACATGTACAGGAACAGTCTTTTTCTGCGGCCATGGTCTAAACTGAAACCTAGCAGATCTTTTTGAACTGCAAATTGTCCACATTGTTTGAAATGTCCTCCGAGGGCCCTTTGACCTGCTGGGATCTTTGTCCACAGCACAATTCTTTCATAATCAAAGATAGCACTCCTGAGGTCTCACGAAATTTTGTCCAAAGGGGCAAGTCTTGCTCAGCTCTGAAAGGGTGAAGCATAGGTGCACTAATCCTGCCCATGGTCCTGTCTTTTGATGTCCTTTTCGCTTCACCTTGTCATCTCCACATTCAAAACCGTTGAATTCTGAAGCCCTGCTTCTGCCAGAGTCAGATATTTGTCTTGAAATGCCTGCTTTGGGTGAATCGTCACCAAACAATAGGGGCTTCCATTTCGAATCTCCGGTTCCGACTGCGTTGCCTCCGCCTCGACAGCATCGTAGATCTTGGAGATGCGATCGGAGGAGCGGAAGTGGCAACGAACGCGACGGCCTGACGGCAAACGCAGCAACAGCTCGACCGAAGCGTCCATCGCGAGCTGGGAGACCGTCGGCTCGACGGTCGCGTCGACCCCGTCGTTCGAGTGCGGCGAGCTGCCCGAGCCGCCCTGCGGTTCGAGTGGGGCGACCGGGGAAGGATTTGCCACGGTCTCTGGATGGCGACGATCTTGAGCAAGTGGTTGACGAAGTGGATCATGATGCAGGGCCTCAAGGTGCACTTTCTGCACTTGCGTGTCGGTGACGTTGGCCGAGGCTGTGGACGTAGCTGGCTTCATGTCCTCAGAGTCGGGGCGCCCAACATCCATGGCTGCTTCATAGAGGTCAGCATAGGCCACACTACCATGAGGTCTCCAAATGAGGCTCCTGCAATGCCAACAACATGCAAAGACGGTGACATGGAGACAGCCGCACGTCAGAGCTACCAAGGGCCGGATCGTGCCACCAAGGCCGGTGGAGTGGGAAGGGATTGCAAAAAACAGCTCTGCACACGCGGAAGCACAGCCGAGACAACAACAAATGGTCAGAGGTGTCAAGTAGAGCAAGCCATCCTTCACTGGATACCTGACCCATTCAGGCAGAGTAAGTACCCAATGTCCAAGTTGTAGCATCACTGGAGTCATGAATGGCTCCAGCAATGGGTCAGATTGCAACAGCAAAGATCCACACAGCGCCGTAGCACCGCTGATCACAGCCAGGATGGGCAACCACAGTAGCAAAGCCAAGAGGGTCACAGCATAAAAACCAATGACACCCAGGCGGATGCGTCCCAAATAGATCTTGGCCTCTGACACATGCGGTCCATGTACCCGTGGAACACTGATGCCGGATGGGACGCCGGCAGACCCCTCGCCTGTGAGATGCTCAAGTCCCAGCATTGAAACAGTGATGATGCTTGAGCCAAAAGCCCGGCCATTGAAGTGGGGTCATGATATGATGCTTGCGATTCCTGAATCACTGAACAACAATGAAATAACACATACACATAGAGCGTGATTTTTTGACTGGAAGAATAAACCATGCCAAGTCGTTGAATAATCCCATTTCGACTTGCCTATGCTTGAAAGAAATTTCCAGAGTAGCAAGTGACACATGAGTGAACAACTAGGCCCGAGCAGAACCGTAGACAAACCCGGCGTTGCAAGAAAGTGTTAAGAAACTAGCATCGATCATATATCACATCATTCCAACCCATTCCACTTTAGTTATAAAGCAACATGGACACGTATCAGCTCATTTTGCCTGCTTTAGACACAACTGAACGGCAATGGCATCTGCAGTATTCTGCAGTTACTAGTTTGAATAATTTTCCGCAAAGTCCCCGGTCCATTCTCCGAGCCATCTTATCGCATCCAGCACATGGCAAAGCGAACTCGTAGTTCACTCGGCGCTTCGAAGATGACAAGTGTTTCTGTGTTTCTTTTTGAGGTGATAAAAAGTGGACAATGGACAAATGTGTTGAAGCATGTTGAAGCGCTAGCATGATGTTTATTATAACTCGGAAGGTTCACAGCCTAGTCAACCTGAGAATGTAGGGAAAAGAAAGTTAGCGCCTTCTCGAGTTTCTGCAGATCGACGGCCATCTAAAAAAATTAAACAGGTACTTGCTCCCAACCAAACGGTGCACAAGCTATCAAACATTGGAATTGGCACTGTGACCGTGAGCAAAGGTCCAAAGGAGTTGTGTTGCAAGCAACATTTCACAGGAAACACATTTCCGCAAACCATCTGCTGTACCACCCTTCCCACCCTACAAACTGGACTAATTAGGGGCGATTCAATGGATCGTCACCAAATTGCCGTGGCCCAAACGCTGAGTGAGATCTCTTTCCAACCAAATAGAAATTGTGTGTATACATATATACAGTAAAAAGATACAGCAAAGAAACATATATGTATACATTTGCCTTTAATGAACGTCTGCCGCGTCCACCCCCCAGCCCCTATACTAACTTCCTTAGAAACCTTCAACTCAGCCTAGCCTGTCCGCTGGCTTTCATTAAACCATTTGTGCTCAAACAACCTTGGATCGATATTATTGATGCAAACGTGATAATATGATGATGAACATCAGGAGGGTTTATTTCAAACGACGCAGCAAGCTTTGCCCCATCCAAAACTCACTCCGAGCTTGCCAGTTCAATCCAAGCTTGTTGCATCGATGCATATGCACTAATGATAACATGGCAAAAGCTAAAGGTTGGTTGGAATGGTTGGAATCTATTGAGCCAATGGCAGCCAATGCAAAAAATGGCAATGATTCATGTCGCAGTGAGTGTCTGTGCACCTGCGAAGCGGGCATCTCTGTCAGCTATCACTATAGATTGCAAAATCAAACATTGTAAAACATATTCTTGCAGTGTCGGCATATACTGTTCACTCTCTCTCGCTCTCTCTCCCTCTCTCTGTTGGTTTGAACTCTTTTCCGCAGTGTCACGTCAGTCGTTCGGTGCGACGCATCCTTCCGGCAAAGACTGCCTCAAGGGCTCCGGCAGATCGGATCCCTCCTGTAAAGGACAAAATTGCTGGAACTCGACACAAACTGACTCAATGACAGAAACAATTGCATATTGTGATTCTCAAAGTAAGACGAGATGCAACATAAACTCTTTCATTATGATGTGTTGTGCACGGACTCTACTGGTACATACTGGTATTGTGAAGAAACATGAGGAACCATCCCGTGCGAATGCTTGTGCCGATTGACCTTGGTTCCGAAAAGCTCGACAAGGTCTAAACATGGGAAAATCTGGGAGGCAAAACAAGGATGCCTTGCTTCCGTGGCAGCTCATACACTTTAAATAGTCTGAGCGGCTCCAAGCTCAGTGTCGAGGCATTCATTTCACAGGAAGCTTGTGCAAAGAGTTGCAGGAAATCACACACACACATACACACACAGTATTTGCAGTTCCATGCAGTTCCACTCCCAACTCTAATTCTTGGGCTGCCTCGACCCTGAGGAAAACTCGATTGAATTCCAACGCTGAATTTGCAATCAACGTAAATCTGGCTTCAAGCCGTAGCCTGCATTATCCTGTTCCGTGACTGACAGACTCGACTTTGAGCCATTCAGGCTGAAGGTCCAGCAGTGACGGAAGCTCCCAGGTCACCTAGAGCGTTGAAGGACGGCCTTTGAACACCTTTTCATGTCGGAAGATGTCGTTCCAACTTCAATCTCCAACTCGGTTCCACTTGACTTCCACAATGTGTTTCCAACTATTGATTGCTTAAAACTCATTTAACTATATATATATTATATCTTTAAATGCTACGAATGATTAACGACATCTTAAATGCTACTAATGACATCTCAAGACTGAGGCTCCAAACTTCGGCTGCCAGCCGCACAATAGAGCGGGGAAGACCCCCACATGCGACCAGCACCGGAAGTGCTGCAATTCTGCGCCTGATTCAGTTCCATCAACAAATGATAGCAAATGGATTGCTGAATCTTTCCAACTCTCTCGTAGCAAAGTCAAAGGATGTCGAAGGAGCCTTTGTCTTACCCCTCTAGCTCGATTTTGGGCTTTTGTCAATCATCTAAAATCCTCTGTGAGACTTCCAAGGAGCAAAAGATCTTCGTTTGGCCGCAATGGCTCTGCAGCCTAAGATCATGTTGTCTTTCCATTTGCAATTTGTCACATTGCTCGAGAGGTAAGGAAGGCAACATTGCTGCATGGTGCGTTTGGCTCACAAATCGACTGACCATCTCACAAGCTTACGAGTATAATATATTCAACTACAACTAACATACCATAGCAAGGCCCCACTCAAGTCATGAAGCCCCGCTAAATGAACAATGAACATGCACAGCATGGATTATAGGCAACCAAGTGACTGCCTTCGCAGCTGGATTTAGGTCCGACGGAAAGAGTGGCCGGTGCAGCCTTACTCGGTAAAAGTTTGTCCGTTACATGTGGTTAACAACGAGATTGAATTAAATGACATGTCATATACATCTAGTCATTCTTTCCACTTGGCAGTTCGTCCTATGTATCAACATCCTCGGGAAAGGCATTGTATCATTTTCCTCTTCGACAAGACTCCAAAAACATAATTTGCGTTTGCTTCTGTACAACAGGAGTTTCTACAACTCACGTCTTGCCTCTGCAGGAAGAGCTGGGCTGCCTCATCACGTGCAATTCTTTCAACAAAATATATGTTAGGGTCGGCCAGTGTGGACTGACATGAAGGCCATCGCCTCCACGTCTGGGAGTGGCCCCAAGGCAATGTTCACTGGCCTCAACACCCATGTGGTCGGCAAGAGATGGATTCAAATCGACAGGCTTACCTTCTGTTCATAACAACTGCACCAAAAGGGTTAGTAGACCTGGTGACCTTGTGATTATTGTGATTGTGTTGTTGCCGTTTCAAAGCTTCTGTTCTCAGCCTTTTCTCACAATCTATTGGGATGGATCACAAAGGCTGGCGTATTAATCGTATCAAACAAGGCCAAGACCTGTGCAAGCTATATACATGTTACATGATTGTCAATAGTTGAGCCACGTCCTATTTCTTCGAACAGCCCCATTTCAACCTTGATCTGATCATGGTTCCGGGCAAACTGAGTCTTCGCGTGCCTGTACATATTTCTGTGCCGGAACTGCAACATATCTGAATCACAGAACAAAGAGCTAAACATCGTGCACAACCTGGGTGGTCACCAACGCTATCTCGACACGGAATATGCCCATGGGGCACCGCGACTAGCTGGAGCTATGAATCTAAATTGGTTCTCAGCTGGCTTCCAGCTCTAAATCGAGACCAGTTACTGTATATAAGTTCAGGCAGGAAGGACCAAGCATGGCGAATAGATGAACAAGACTAGACTGAATTTCAACACTGGCTTGTTCGGGCTGCCGTTTGTTCGCGCTGCCGTGCTCGTGGTACTGCACCGTGATGATCATGATGCAATCTGGGTGCAAGACTTCCATCTGTCTCCTGAAACTTAACTTCTGTGAACTTCTTTGACATTTCAGAAAAGTTGTCTCATGATCCAGTCTCTTGGGAAAGGCAGCCATACTTGGAAGATCTTGGAATCTTGGAGGGCAAAATCCGCGAAAGCCACTGGATCTCCTCCTTGACCGTCAAGCCTGTACAGTGGCGACCGCCTGCAATTTTTTCGATTGGCGACCATGCGGCGTCAAAACCGTTCACCGTTCAACCCACCTGTCAGCTTGACCCAAAGGAAGGAACAAACATGAGCCACAGCCACAGTACCTGGAATGTTGACCTGTCCCATAATTTCTTGCTTCTCCCTTCAGGACATGTCAAACATCGATGTCCGTCGAGTCCGCTCCCGAACAGCGTCCCTTGGTCTAAGGCCGGGTGGAGAAAGGGGTTTGTGCACGATCTTTTACACTGCGTTGGCATGCGTAGGCCTACAGCCTGGATCATAAGCAGTACACAAACAACCATGAAAAAAGCAAACTATGGTTTTTGGCCTGTTTGGTTTTGACCTTTTGACCCACATCCATTTGATGATGTTGACCAGCGCTTAAGACACTGAGTCGCCTGGTGATTAAAAGACATAGTTGTGGATGCTTGTCCAATAATTCAGGGACAAAGTCGTCGCTCCTTAGTGACAACCCGTTGGCTTGAGCGGATACAGGGTGGCTTCTGGAGTTCATCCGGATGGCAAAACTCGCCGATTCGCCGATTCACAAACTCCAAACACAGATGCAAAGGCCACCCTTGAGAGGCTGACCAACCAAATTGCTTCTCCGCGCGATCAATCAGCAGGCCTGCGTTCAGAAAAGGGCGTTGGAGAGACTGAGAGACATGGCGCGAGGCCACGCACGGCGCGCAAAGTAGGAAGGCTACGAATGTCATCTTCTTGGGGCGCACATGATCGCTCGCCATCCTTCGAGGCAAGTCCAGCGGCCTCAGCACGGAAGCATAGCACGTAGGACTTAGCCCGTTGAGTGAGAAATTCCTCGATTCAACCAAGAGTCTGCAGCGAAAATGGCTAAGTGGGCGCAAGCTGCTGTGCCTGGGACTAGGCAAGGAGCACTTGAGCACCGCTGTGAATCTCTGTAGCCGTCGTTGACCCGTGCGATGCTTGTACAATTGCAAATGTATGCAGGTTGCCACAAAAACGCTTGCACTTAACGCCGCTGCTTTGCTAACACACCCCCCGCAAAAAAAATAAACTGTGGCCGCAGGCCTGTCTCGGAATCAATAGCTGAATTCTGCAAGGACCTGATTAATCTCACCGAGACCGAGAACCATTCCGCTTGCTGTACAGGACAACTGAGTCCATGGCACATAGGCCAATCGTTGCCTGCCCTTCACCTCGCAGCTCTCTTCTTTTCGTCTCTGGTCTACCGTGGGGCAAACATTTTCCCAGAGCATCAGAGGGTGGATTTATCTTATGATATCTTATGTCATCGCTGCGGAAGCGAGCCAATGCGTATCGGCGTTCTTACAGGGACGGGCATCCCGCAAAATGCATCTACATGCATCTACTGTAAGAAAACGGCATGGTGCCTTGATACATACAAGCAAGACAGGAAAAGCAAAAAAAACAATTCACAAGAATACAGTCATGAAATGAAACATCACACTTAGGTCGAAGCGCTGCAAACAAGAAACGTTCGCCGTTCGTTACTTGCACCGCTTACACTGCAAGCATTTAGAGCCTAAGACCTAAGAGATCCAAAAGGGTACATGCGAAACCAATGAACTGGAAGCTTTAGACTCTTTGTGCACCTACAGGCCATGGAAGAGGCGCGGACAGTCATTTTAGAGTTTTAGCTCGGCGGCTTTTGGCAGCACATGCTCCATCTTACTTGTTGTGATAGAGCTTCTCAGTGCCATTTAGCAGATCCGCGGTAGTATAGTGGTTAGTATGTCCCGCCAGTCATTCTGCTTTGCCAAGGAAACATGTAGCAGCCTTCTGAGGCGGCTTCAGCGCGTGGTTTCATGAGAAGAGGTTAGGATGATTGCGCCACTTGCTCCTGAACACAACATTCGCTGGTGGTCTTGTTGCTAAGCAGCTATTTTCGGATCATCGCGGATCATATTATTCCAAGAGTTCACATTAGGGCCACTTGACCTGTTGAGAGAAGCCTTGCGAGTAAGTAAAGGCCTATGAACATCTTGTCAAAACGGCAGCGCGGTAGCAACGATGCTGTGGCACCGTGCTGGTGCAAATCTTCGCCCAGGAGCAGTTGCAAACCGGCAAAGTTCTGCACCTGCGATCTGCTATGGACGAAACAATGCAGAATGAAAGAATTGTCTCATAGATTCTTCATAGATCAGACTGATAGCAGTTGATAATTCCAATATTAGAGGCAAACTGCCCCGATAAAGCTTCCAGCAACACATCGCACGCCTATGGCGCTCTTTCCCATTCCACAAGGCCCATGTAGTATCACCACACGTCGACCTACGAAGAAGCAACGACTGCGACCACCGTCAGACCGTCAGACTGAATTCGACTCTTTGTGTACGGGTTTCCAGCCTCCTGACGCTCCAAGGATTTGAAGAAGCCTCTGCAATTCGGAGCCCCTTCCAACAAAGTCTTCACAATCCTGGTAGGCAAACTCTGTACAGGGAGGTAAAGCACTCTCAGCTCTCAGTTTTTCTTTGTCTTCCATAATGTCTTTCTTTCTCCCTCTCTTCCGGCGCTTGGTCTCCCTCACTCTCCCTCAGCCCTAGCCACTCTAGCGCGTCCCTCCTCCGGGGCGCTGGAATTCAGTGAGGAAAGCTCAGTGTCCTGGAATGGCCAAGCCGTTAGGTTTTTGGGGCAGGCACCAAACATCATCTCATGACTTGTCCAGGTTGCTGTTGTAAAACACCGTTTCCTGAATATCTTCGCCATCTGCGTGTTCAGTCACTGATCCGGCCTCAAATGACCGTGAACGGGATTGTTCAAAACCAACATCTAATGCGCGAAAAGAAATGCACGTTCACATCTGTCTTCTCCGGCCCAAGCCTGCATCCCAAAACCATCCACAGGCATCAAACGGTGCAAGGGTCCTGTGGAATTTCTCGCTGGGCCCTAGATTGATGCTAGCCTTCATCTGGTGGGAAATGTGACGAGAAAAGCAACACAACGTCTATATTATGAAAAACCAAGCGCATCTCCGAGCGCCGAGTTTCCAATACCGTGACTTAGCGCCTTCGATTGGAGTCTCTGGAGCCACAGCAACTGGCATCCAAGTAGGAGAGCTCCTCCCAAGGCAAAAGCGAGCGATCCAACATGATCCAACCCTTTACATTGAGCAACGGCTCAACCAGTCCTTGCTGACATAATTGGCAAATCAGAACCTCAGGTGGAACTCTGATAGATAAAGCAAGATTGAATTTGGAAGAAGTGCAGGCGAGCATTTGCCTCTTACACAAGCAATTCACCACTCAATCCGAAGGGAAATCCAAGCTATGATGCTCCCATTGGTTCCAGGACTCCAGCTGTCAAGCACCGGATTTTTTTTTGCACGAGTCGAGGCGCTGTGTGTGCAGGTTCTGCACAAGTCACCTTTAGCCAACGGGTTGACGAGGCCAGGACTCTTTTCCAAGAGGAGGAGCTGATTGGCATCTGCTCGGATCGCTGCATTGGTGGCCGTCTTCAACACCTCCAAAACAAGGGATCACACGTCAAATCATAGGCTTGATAATGCAAACCATAGTAGGAGCAAGGACGCTACTAGGGGCTCCTGGCATCGCTACTAGCACCACTAGGAGCAAAGAGGCTACTGGGGCTCCTGGCCGTACTACTAGGAGCAAGGACGCTACGAACGGGGCTCTTGCAAACCATAGGGGCAAATGCGCATTGGCATTCACACGGGGCTTCGCACCTCTTTGGCAGCTCTGAATGCCAATCGTACACGCTCCTCTATGCCTTGTGAGGTAAGAAGGCACTGTGGTGAGGAAGGCTTAAGCACTTCTCTTCATCCAGCGGAGTAGATGTCAAACCTGTTCCACAATTTTCCGGCCTCTTTCTGAGTCACTACTCCTCAGCTGGTTCTGAGTTGGCTGCACAATGCTGCAAGGCATGTGATGGCTGAATGACACACGCATTGACATCACTCGCTTTGTCTTTTGTTTCTTCCCAGCCAAGGTCAAAGCTCAAGACTTTGACATGCACAATGAAGCTGACGATAAAAATATGAGGCAAACATCCGGGCTGTCGAGTCGCCTCAAGTAAATGGACAAAGGATCCAACACCGTAAATGGTTCAAATTGATCCGCTACAACTCCTGAGGAACAAGGGGTGCTTCAAAGAGCTCAAGTTCTAGCCCCCATAATCCCTCATATCACTTGAGCAATAGGATGTACAGTAATGGGATCTAATGGGTAAGTTACATGCTGGATTACCATACTTGACAATGCTTCCACGACACGCAGTTGCCCTGTGGCTACAATCGCGAAGGAGGCTCCAGCAGCTAGTAGGGCTCTACCAGCCTGGCAAGGAAGGCCGTCGATTTCCTGGTTGTGTGGGACAGCATTGACCACTTTACCCCATGCATTGCCTTTGATTTACAAAACGGCAACTCAGGTCTATGCAACACACGCACTAGCATGTAGCCATGAGTTTAGCTTTGCCTGCTCCCCAGCACACGTCAGGACTGACACGCCCAGCGGAGGGGTTTGGCACTTGAAGATGGCCTTGCTTTCAAACAAACAGTCGGCCATACATGGTCTTACTGCATCTGAGACTCAAACAGACATTGGAACCACCTGAGGCGCACCATCCTGGTCCTGTCAAAACGGAATAGTCGGAACAGTACCAACAGAAAGGCAACAAGATGTTGTTAGAGGCCTCAAGAATCAATCGATCAGTGCCAGGTTCACTGTGAGCTGCAATGTGCCACCAGCTGTGACCTACCAAAGGTGAGTCCATCCAGAGTCCAGACAAGATTACGCTACCAAGCAATAACAAACAGCTGCAGTTTGCAAAAGCTGCCCAGTAGGCAGTTGGATGATCTTGGATGTGCATGTCTTTTCTGCTTACGGCTGACGACCGCAAAGGCCAGTGGTCAACCCAAGTAGTTCACAGGAAGCTTCAAACAGCTCCTTCCGTGCAAGCTCAGCTTCCCATCTTTGTGTCAACATGTCTGAAACAATGGAATGGAACCAATGAGGAACCAGTGATCCGACTCGTCCGAGCCCCCAGTCCTCTTGCAAAAATCGATCAGATGCAGTGGCAGATATGCTGGACCACCCACAATCTTCTGCCTTGCAGGAGCTATCTCATGCTACTAGTAGCTAGAAGCTACTCGGTTGGAGGCCATCGCTACGGTAGTAGGTTGGAGGCCATACTAGTAGTAACAAGATCCTACTAGTAGCATGCTGTCTTGCAATAGAGAATGGCAAATGAACACGGTCTTTCTTCTTCACGATGGATCTTCACCCCCAACCTCCCGACCGCAATTCACCAGGGGAGGTGCAAGTGCCGAGTAGTAGCGTCCTGACACTGCCTGAAATCAAATGCTGGCTATGTTCTTCTCATCCATTCAAACAATGTCTTTCTCGAATGGCCTTCTTCTCTCCTTTTCAATTCCCTCTCCTATTCTCTTCTCTTCGCTTCATGGCTTCTCATGCTTCTCTTCTTTTCCTCTCTCTCTCTCACCGTAGGATTTCTTAGTCGGCCAGCCAGAAATTTAACTTTTGAGCAGAATTGCCTGCACAGCCGGATGAGTGGACACATGAATCTGTGTCTTCGGCCCATCCTCCTACCAGCCACAAGGGTCAAAGCTGCGAGGTGTACACAACAAGCGAACGTCTCCTCCGACTGTGCGAAGCCAGTCAGTCTCAATACAGGCAGCATTATGTAATCGTGCAAGTACCTGTGCCACATTGTGAATGTGAAACCTTTGAATATATTACTGTATGGGTGCATCAGCGATGAGCCCTGGCCCTAGCGGCCCTAGCAGGATGCTACAGGGTCACGTCTGCAACCCTGGCTGAGACAGTGATTGGACCAAAGGTGTCCTCAAAGAATGCACTGCGAAATGAGATAAGCGCCAAAAAGGCAACAAGTTGAAGAATTGACATTTCGACCATGCTGAGCAGTGGGCTGAACAATTGCAGGGTGCAAGCTATGCGTCACAACCTGAGTATCCCGAGCGCAAAACGCTTCCCTTGAGAAAGGTGAACGGTTCAGGTGGTGACCACCAAAATTTCTTGCCTCATCTATAGTGCTAGGGAAGGGGGGGGCCGTCCGACTCTTGAGCGATTCTGCAGCAAAGCAGAGATGAGACATCAGAAGGCACTCCGGACTCGGGCCTGTCTTGCACAACCGCATCCACTATCTTTGCAACAATGGTGGACTTCTCGGATGCTTCTTACATCTGCTTCACACAGATTGCCTGATTGCCATTGCCATGACACAGCACTGCCTTGGTTGTCTTGCTTCTCCCATGTCCGGAACGCAGGTCTCCACACATTTGCTGGCAAACGTCTGGCCAAGGCTTGAGAAAAGAGTACCTGCAGTGATGTAAGAAATACCGATATTCCCAGGCCCACGCCCTGACTGACTGACTGAGCTTTCAAGACTCCTTCTCACCGTTTCAGTCTTTGACCCGGCCTGAGCTAGCTTCGAATCCGCATACGAGCCACCCAAGTTTCCCAACATGCGCATTTGCCTGGCCAAGCAGTCAAGCACGAGACAAAAGACTCGCCCACAAAACTTGATTCTGAACCATCCACACACACACACACATCACACGTGTTAACAAGCGTCAATTCACTGTCAATGCCTCTTTGGGAATTCCAAGTCGAGGACTTTCCGACGTCGAAATTCCTGGCGCAATAAGAAGACAACACAAGTCCTTGCATTCCACCAGGTTCAGCTTCCAGTGGACCGCCTCTACACTGATCTTTCCCCACCTGCCAGGCAAACGGTCCAAGGACGGAGCCAGGACGGAATATCTGAGGCATGCGCTCATGGGCTTTGGCTGACACGTGTACAATCCGCGCTTCCTCACTCTGCTCTAAACGAGGCAGCAGTAGGGACGTCAGCAAGAACCTTAGTGCAACAGAATGTCTAGACTGATCAGTCAAACATCGGTAGACTCACATGCTCAAGCATCACGGCTTGGCGTTTCTGGTGCATTTTCAGGCTGAGGCGGGGAAAGGTAGTTGACCTGCAGAGGTGGCTAAGGCAAGGAAGTCGGTCTATCGATAAGTCGGCGGTTGAAAGCCGACTTGTGATCAGGGAACTTCCCCTTGCCTGGGAGCATTCCTCAAAGCCATCCTTCGCAAACACTCCAGTCTATCTCATCTAGTTGAACCAAAGGCATCCAAAGGCACTTTTGCACCAAGTCGAGTCTTCACTCTACAAACGTTGAGCCTATTTTGAGCTAACAAACACCCCTCAGTCCTGAGTACGGATCAGCTCACCGGTACCCAAAACAGCTGCATTGTGGACCAGAACATCCTGAGCAAACTATTGGGAGTGGGGATCAGTGGTAGCGCGCGATTTGACCGAGATACTGACCACAGGCCCTGTGTATTGATCTGCAAATGCACGAACGCTTTCGAGAGAGGCAAGATCCATTTCCATTACAACCTCTCAAACTTTCACTTCTCAAGAAAACTTCGCCCTGTATCGAAAAAAACAAAGGTAATAAACCTCAGGAAAGGACTGGTGGAGGTGCGGAAGGGTTCTCCTGTTCAGGAGGGAACGAGGCAAGTCAAAATTCCAGCTTCCCAGCACATGGGCGACATATCAATACTCAATACTCGTCATAGTGCTACAGTATCTCTTAAAAACATCTCAAGGGCAATAAGATGCATTTATACAACTTTTATGATGTTTGATGTGTTGTGTCCGTCCGTGCAACATGTCACAAAGACCCTTCCTGCTGCAGTCTCTCTTGCAAGGCTTTTCCTTTCTTCATGTCCCGCACCTAAACCGATTTAGCCATGCCAGGTCACTTGAGTTTTCCTTGTGTTTCTATCTCTGGACTCTCCGTGTGGAATGTCCCAAAGGCGTGCAACAAAAAAGGAACACTCTTGGTATCATTTAAGTGGTTCTCAGGCACTGACGGGAAGGACCAAAGATGCATTCCAGGCTGCCATCACCTCTTGAGCGGCCGTGATTCCAAGCCATCCATCCAAGTCCCATGCTACTATATTTGACAGATCTTTTACTGTAGCCGGTGGCCAGTAGCAAACTCAACTTGAGGCCAGGGGGAGAGGTCGAAAGCTAGCCGAGTCGCACCGGATGTACTAGTTACATAGTCGGCAAAGCATGTAGGGATGACATGTTTTGGGAGGAAGGTTGCTATGTACATACTTTGCGCTAAAGAATGTAAATGTGACATCGCTGACTGGGAAGGGTACATTGGAACAACCCGGGTGCACTCGTTGGCAGGTACGAAGATGCGTGATCGGCAAATCTGGGGGGGTAAATTTACCCTCCGCTTTTGTATGCCTTGAGTCGGAAAGAGGGGTAAGCATTTCTGACATCATACGGACTGTACATACACTAGGGCGTCCGTAGTGTAGGAGAAGCACGGGTAAAAGGTATATGGAATAGAGTGTCTTGAGGAAATAGCCGGTGTATGGTTATTGCAAATCTGGGGGGTAAAAATACCCCCCGCTTATGTATGCCTTGCGCTGGAAAGAGGGGTAAGCATTTCTGGCATCACAAGGACTGTGCATACACTAGGGCGTCCGTAGTGTAGGATAAGCACTGGTAAAAGGTATCAAGAATAGTGTGTCTTGAGGAAATAGCCGGTGTATGGTTATAGCAAGCCTGGGGGTAAATTTACCACCCGCTTATGCATGCATTAGGTTAGAAATAGGGGTAAACAACTTGTAACGGTGAAGTACAAGTCCTATGCAGCAAGCAGCAGCCAGCAGCCAGCAGCAACCACCAACCAGCAGCCAGCCAGCAGCACCACACAGCAGCAGCGCAGCATCAAGCCGCAGCAGCAGCAGCACCACCGGCAGCAAGCAGCAAGCAGCAGCAGCAAGCAGCAAGCAGCAGTAGCAGCGGCGTCGTCAGCAACAGCAGCAGCACCACCAAGCCGCAACAAGTAGCAAAGCAGCAGCTACAAAAGCGGCAACCAGCGGCAGCAGCAAACAGCAGCAGCAAGCAGCAGAGCGGCAGCAGCAGCAGCACCCTTTACACCAAGCCACCGTTACACCCAACCAACCACGTTCACACGTTCAACCAACCCCCTGCACGGCGCAGCTGGGAGTTGAACCGCGGGGGGGGGGGGTTAGCTTGATATATCAATCTTTAAGGCACGCAGCCCCTCCCACCACAACATTGCTAAAGCAAAGAAGAACTCAGCTAGCATGCTAGCTTTCGTGACTAAATATCAATCCCCTATTCTTGGAAACAAAGAAACAGGATGAACCAGGGTCAAATTAGCCCAGCTAGAGACCCCAATAGCAAAATACAAACCGGGACAACTTGAGGCCGAGGGTAGGTGACGAAAGCTAGCAGGGGTGCATCCGGACTGGTGGGACATCAAGCGGATTGAGGCAAATGCTCATGAGGTAAAACATTGTGAACATGTAAGACACACAAACAGCAATAACACAGCCAACCTTAGAATTGAAATCCCCGATAATTAAGGAAACGTGGCTGGACTTTGCCACACTATTCGATGCATCCGATGTGTTTATGAACCTGTGAGCTTGTTGAATCTATTGCACCGTATCCCAAAACCTCCACGGAGGAGTTGAACCAAAGTGGATGCCATAAAAGGTGTCCAAGAGGTGTCCCAGAGGCAAAACAAAATTGCTTGCATGATTTACTTGGTTTCTTCTATCAATGTCGATGTCATGAACCTGTAAGCTTGTTCAATCTGTTGCACCGTATCCCGGAGGAATTAAACCAAAATGGATGCCATAAAAGGTGCCCCAGGGGGGAGTTAAACCCACGGGGGGGGGGCCCCCTACCTACATATAAAATTTTCACGTGATGCGGCGATGTCGAGCATTCCAACCCCTCATTTACTTAAGCAAAAACAACTCCAGCTAGTTGGTGCTAGCTGCTAGCTTTCGTAAAGAGAAAAATCTAGAAACAGCTGCTGTTTTCAACACATCGACCATAAAACATGATCGGGACACCATCAAAACAAGCAAGACCGGCACACCATCACAACATGATTGGGTCACAATCAAAAAAAGACCGGCACACCATCACAACATGATTGGGTCACCATCAAAACATGACCGGCACACCATCACAACATGACCGGAACACCATCAAAATATGACCGGCACACCATCACAACATGACCGGCACACCATCAAAACATGACCGGGACACCATCACAACATGACCGGAACACTATCACAACATGACCGGCACACCGTCACATGACCCGGACACCATCAAAACATAACCGGCACACCGCCAAAACATGCAAAACATGACCGGGACACCGTCACAACACGACCGGAACACCATCAAAACATGACCGGGACACCATCACAACATGACCGGGACACCATCAAAACAGGACCGGGACACCATCACAACATCACCGGGACACCATCACATGACCGGGACACCATCAAAACAGGACCGGGACACCATCACAACATGACCGCGCCACCATCACATGATCGGGACACCATCAAAACATGACCGGGACACCGTCACAACATGACCGGGACACCATCACAACATGACCGGCACACCATCACATGACCGGGACACCATCAAAACATGACCGGGACACCATCAAAACATGACCGGGACACCATCAAAACATGACCGGGACACCATCAAAACAGGACCGGGACACCATCACAACATGACCGGGACACCAGCATCACATGACCCGGGCGCCATCAAAACATGACCGGGACACCATCCGCCCACCAGCTCTGACGGTGACCCGACGGCGCCCGTCCGCCTATTAGTTTTGCAAGACCCCATAGCATGGCTATTGGGGAACAAAGTGACACCGGAAAGCTCGTCAAGCGGACGCATGCAGGCGTCCCGGCCTCTGCTTGTGCTTGGCCAAGTCCCGAGGTGGAGCCTGTGATGATCACCGTCTTCCCTCGGAGATCCACTTGTTCCAGCTCCCCCAAAGCCGGCACGGTCACAGCCTGCCAGCCCACCTGGGTGAGTGGCTCATGAGCCAAATGATGCCAAACCGCGATTCACCCACTAAGGTGATGGCACCCACTGCAGCCACAAGGTATGGCACAAACCTGGGCGATTCGTTCTGGTGCATTCTGATACCTCGAGCAAGTGAAAAAGCACGATGCTACTTACTAAACTCTCGAATCCGGTGTCGAGCTGCATGCAGCCGAATAGTGCCTTTATCTTGGCCATGCGATTGGCCGACGCTTTTGATGATGTCGTTGCCATGGCTATAGCAAGCGGCTCTCTCAATAGAAAACACTGTTGCAAATCTACTGGCTACGAATGAGCTGCAGGCCCTCTTTCTAGTTGTCCTCTACCTTTCCATTGCTTTCCATAATTACTCTACGCATTTTTTTGGGTTGTCTGTACATCAGTACGGAGAGGTTAAAGGCACTCACAGAAGGCTGCCTGATTGCAGGGATGCAGAAGGCTGCCCCACGTGGATGCCATGGGATAGCAAAAACATGCAAAAACAACGCCCTCTTTCATCCAAAACATGTCATAATCATCTTGTATTCTCCAACATGCACGAGCCAGACAGCTCTTGTTGCAAGCGGTTCAAACCAGGGGACAAGACAAATGTTATCAAATTTTGCAACCTTGCGGAATGGGATGTTGATTGCGTTGAGACATAGAGAGCATGAAACTACTTGCAATAGTCCTGCCTGAAGTAGCGGCACTACTTGCTGCAAGACGAGATAGCCTGTTGACCTAACAACTGTCGATACAAGTGTCACATCCTTGCAGAATGTGGTGGTCGAGGCTGCAGCTGTTGCAACAAGCACTTGCATGCGGGCACTCGTGCTGGCATAACTGCCAGTAGTCCATGTTCCGGCTCTGCTGCTAGCGGATGCCTGAGCTCAGGAACCTGCTTTTGTCGAACGTACATGGCTAGCCAGCTAGTCACGTAAGGCATTGGCTGACAATGGTGTACCATCCCTTTCTACCAATGGACCTGCAATGGAACGTGCAAATCCCACAGTTCGACTAGAAAGGCTATGCAACATGCCACATGCCTGAGTCATAGTCAAAGTCAATCTCCAGCGCGTCTTTGATAGCCGCAACTTCTTCCTTTCACAAAGTGACAGGCTCCCCCAGTCCTCTTCTCATGACTGTTTTTTTTTGACTGCCGAGCGAATGACGTGGCGTAGGCAGTTCATTTTCTTGGGGGCTTGCCTGCCAACGCAAGGCTGGAAGCCTTTCAGAGGACTTCCCAGGTCTCAGAATGGGTGAGGCCTGAGGTGTGCAACAGAGCAGGAGCAAAGACAGCCCGAGAGTTACTAAGGCAAGAGCGTATAAGTATTGAACCTCCAACAAAGGTTTTCTCCTCTTGTCTAGACCTCCGCTCTGGGTGCAACGGAAATGAAGTGTAACCCTACATGGCCCTCGAACTACAGGACCAAGCTCAGCGAGCTTAGGCCACAACATGTTACACAGGGTAGTGGAGGTACCACATTTTGTACCTCAGAGTTGCAGAATGATACAGCCATGCTGACAGCTATGTAAGAGTCTTCTTCTTTAGCGATGTCTTCGCATCTTTCGATAAATTTCTTTGTCTCCTCCGGGCACCCCGGCACTGGTATCTTCGGGGTCCTGAACTTTGGGTCGGGAGACAGCCTTGACCGGCCTGACATTTCAAGCATCAGCAACAGTTTCTTTGCTTTGTTCCTGAGGCTGGTGGACTTCTTGTAAAGACTCCAAACGCTGCTTGTTGCTCTTAGTCTGAAGTGGCAGCTAGCAATTTGTATATTTATATAATTAGTTTGTTTGTACCAAAACACAAGACACCACTCTTTGAATCCAGCAGAGTTAGTCCAAGTCGCAAGGAAGGTCCTCTTGTCCTAAACTGCCTCGAGATGTCTGCCTTTGGGTACTTTTTGTTTCCAACAACATTTAATAATATCATAAGAATACCATGGCAATTAGATTGTTGACCTTTCAAACATAGATGCTGGTACAAGTAGTTCATTCTGCTGATTTGGGGTAGTCAACCGGAATTTTCTGGGCGAATGGCAAACCTCGTTTGGCCGTGCAGCAATCGTCTGCGCCTCCGAAAAGATCGTGCTGGCCGACGGCTTTTCCGCCCCAGCCAGTTCAACGTGAAGGCCTTGTTGAAGTCACTCGGAGTTCTTGAAAAAAGGCAAACAACTTCATGAAACAGAAATAAGGACAAGTAAAACTAAAGGTAAGAAAAGAAAAAAGTAAAAGGCCCTTTAACATATTTTAAAATATCCTTTTCTTTTTCTTTTCCCCATTATGAAACTCCATGGAAAAGTCGCTTGCAAGAAGCATGAAAACACCAACGTGACTGTGGGCCACTCATGGCCACTCCGCCAAATGTTTAAGGACACTGCACTGAGACTGAGCCCTCCTCCGACAGCCAATGCCACGCTGCCTGAGCAAGGAGCTTGCTTTCCAATCGAGATTCGATTCATAGCCATAATGCAAATACACAGTAAAAATCCGTAAGGTAGAGTAACTCTTTTGCCCTTGGCTTCAGCCTTTGCAGACTTCTCAACTTTTCCCTTGCGCCAAGTCCACGACGGGCGGAACTACGCTGAAGTACTACTTGCTCATTTTCACCTCAAGAAGCGTGAAGGAAGCTGAACAGTCTTTTTAGCCCGCTCCTACTTATATAATTACAGCAAGTGGTTCGCTTATTGGCTACTTATATAAGCTATATAATAGATATGAACGCAGGATAGCTCACGCTTACTGATTTGGTTCCTAGATTTTTATGGAAACTTAACTCTCGACTCTCAACGGAGCTTCTGTAGCTTCTGGCATTGAAGGTTCGGCGCAAGGCGTCGCTGGCCCTCATGACAGGGGGTGGTTGCTGTGCTTGAAACATGGAGATCATCCAAATCACAGTCAATGCAGTGTGCAAGTTGCAAGGCCAAAAGGCACAGCCTAAATTATGCTACAGATCTCAGACATTGACAAGAGCTGTTGGACTCGAGCAGTAGATCACACTCTCTGGACTTTTCGGCAGGTATCCTACCAAGCATAAAAGCAATCAGTAACATCATTTAAAGGAAGTCTCGATCAAACCAGGCCCTGGCCTTGAACTCCCATTCACTCGCTCTTCTCAACTTCGGTACATGCGCTTGCACCAACTGCAAGCTCCAAGACTCACGGAAAAGCTGCAGCGCAGGCATTCAATCATCCGCCAGTACCAATTTCACGTTGTGGCATGTTTGCTAGAATATAGACAGAACTCACCATCAAATTTCATAACACTGAACAGGAAGGGAGGAAGACCATGGAGTTTGGGTCGCTCTGCCTTTCCCAATATGGGGAGGTTGCAAGAAGAAACGTGTTAGAGGCCACGTAAGTACTGCCGTGCCTCGGATAAAAGTTAAAAGTAGACAAAGAACAGTCTTTTTTCGCACTCACTATTCGGTAGCCAGCAAAATGCCACTTGAATCGCAAGAGCTACCGTTGTAGCTACCATTCAGCAGTGAGCCACGCATCGGCAACGCCTCGTTTGCTTCGTTTTCAGTTCTCCGCATCGTTCCACGGATTTCAGTTCTCCACGCTGGGACGCTGGCATCGACATCAGTTCTCAAAGCCTCTTGGCCATTCCCGGAACGATTCAAGTACAAGTACCTCACGTGCGAGCGTTCCAAGGACATGGACCAGCTGCTTATCGCAGCCTCTTCATACACCCACAAAGCAAGAATTGTCGCACGCGTCTGTGCCAAACTCGGGAATTGAATTCAGCTCTAACCATCCACCAACATAGCACCTCATTGTTTCGTCAAGCAAAATGGGCTGTGGGCAGCCTCTGCTCCCTGACCGCCTTTGGCCGCTGTTGGCAACAGGCATCAAACAAAACAATTCAACATCTAAGTTTAGCACGCATAGTTCCTGCTGACAACATCTACAACTCGCTCACAGGACACATGGACGGAATGGACCCTATGCTCATGTGGCCTGCTCAGTGGCAAGCCGCAGCCGAAGCCAGCCAATGGCCTCTAGTTTTACAGCTTCAATCAGGGTGCATGTTGATACCTTTGACACCGTGGACAATAAACATGCTTATAATGCTGCTCAAACTTTAATGTTGCCATGCTGTGTTTACAAGGATATTATATGATGAGATGTAACATGATGTAACCCTGATTAGTAGGAACCGTGGACAGGAATTCTCTCAGCTCTCATTCAGAAGAGACACATTTATAAACCACAATCACGAAGCACTCCGAAGCCATGAGATTCTGGCGCCACACCATCATCGTCGGAATCTTCATCCTCCGGCTCGCTGCAGGCATTTGCAGCTGCCACCTCCTTCCACCAGGCAGCCAAAGCATGGCCAGCTTCACGCAGGTCAACAAACTGGCTTACCGAAGCTCTGTGGTTTGATCAATATCTGAGCTCTCTTGTTCATGTCCAATGAATGGCTCTCTCTCTATATATATATATAATATATATACACAATGCAATATCGGTGCATGGCCGGCTTTCAATAGACAATCTGCCCATTAAAGCAAGAGCCCAACCCGCCTCGCATGCTGGCCTAGCCGTGGTGAACATATATGACCACACCTGCCAACAGCTGCAATTCTGTGCTTGCCTTGTCTAATCATCAAACTGAGCTCGGTCGCAGCATCAGTGTTGAGTGACCCAATGCCTGGTCCATGTCATCCAAGGGAATGCCTTCTCAAGCAAATGGATTGGGCCACCACAATGATGACTCTGCTGCTATCGTCTGCTGCGACCGGTGCTCTTTGGCTCTTGGACGATCTCGGTCAGATTGTATATAACATATACTCTACAAGCAACATCCCAACCTCCACCGCAGTCGGACCTTGCCAGTCCAGAAAACATGTGGAACAACACATGTGTTTTCATCTTATGGGAAATTATGTCCTGGCTTCTGCACTGACCGAACATCACACGATGGTGCTCCTTTCCAATATCTGTCTCCTGTCTCTAGGCACATGGCACCCTCAGCACTACGGTGTCATCATCACCACAAATCACAACACCTGGGAACATCTTTCAGCTGTCCGGATATGCACAATCGGAGGAAACATGCTATTGCAATCACTAATCACAACATCGCTTATCATGCAGGGGCTTTAAGGAGAGGACAACATGACAGGCTCAGATTCAGACGAATTGGGTATGCCTCGGCCACTTGCCTTGAACCATACCTGAAGTATTTCAGGATATTCCAGGCTACCCTCTTCATGGACAAACGCATGCTTGCAGCTGCTGGCCTCTCAACTACAGCTCGGAGCGAATTCTTGAGCAGTTCAAACCTCATGTCAGGTGCGGCGTTTGTAAACAGTGCTTTGCTCAAACATCGACCAAAATAGAGGTCTCTGAACGGTGTGGACCAAAACCTTGCGAGCCCAGAACATGATGTAATTCAGGTACTGCGAGATAAATGGAAAGCGAACCTGGCCATGTATCCATAATTGAAACAGGATCTCTAGCAAAGTTCTTCACTGACTTTGGACACTTGTATTGTCATTTCAAGCACCTGCCCGACATCTACAATATCGATCGGTGGACTCCAGCCATAGTGATGCCTTGGACAGCAACATCATGTTGGGCAATGACTCGAAAAGGGTGGATAACAAACCTTGAATCGGACTTTGCCGCTTCATCTACTCCAAAAAGAAGTCCAACATTCTAGCACTGTTTTAGGATATTTTGGTTATTATATATGGTTATATATATATATAAGCACGACCTCAGCTTGTTTTCCCACGCGTTGCAGAATGTTTGTCTAAGTTGCAACAAGGTTGTACTTCCTAATAACCTCTCGGGGCCCCGACTCTCTGTTCCCTCGCCAAACCGACAGGAACAGAGAGCCCCCCTAGTGCCTCCTAGGGCCGCATCCGCCAAACCCGATGCTCCCTCTAGGCTCAGGCACTTAAAGAGAGGGAAACCCTTCCCAGACCCACTCCGGCCTTGATGGGAGGTTTCTTCTCCGACTTCTCAACTCCGAGAAATCGACGCGCGCGCGACAGAAAAAGCGCAAAAAATTAAACCTTTCGTCCCTTCTTGGCTCTTGCTCCACGTCCCCCTGACCTGGACCCCCCTTTGAGGGGGTCCAGGCTCAAGGTTTGGGCTCCTGCGGTACAAGTTGACGTATGGAATAAAAACCGAATTAGACAGAGACATGTCGGCCAACTGTGCGAGGCCGTCGTTGAGGTACACTCGAGCCGTTCGTGCAGCGGCCCACCAGCCTTGCACGAGCAATTTATCGAACGAACCGTGCTGGTTGAACCAGAACGTCGCGCCCCCTCTGCGCAGACTGTACGGTCTGAATTGCAGGTCATTCAATTTGAGTGCCTCGATGGCTTTGGTAAACAAGGCTCTCCACGCATGTGGTTTGAGGGTTAAAAATTGAGAAGGGGAACTGACTTGCTTCCATCTCCAGAGGTCTGGGAGAATCGACCGCTCATGCAGCGTGACACTCTCCGCCGCGCCCTGGCGAGCTCCTCCCTTGGTCAGTCCGAGGGAAAGGACTGCTGGTCCCTTGGGCCCTGGGATGAAAACATCTTTGGCCCGCAGGCTCAGTAATTCACCGGTACGAAGTAGCCCAGAAGGCGATCCGTAAGGACAAGCCAAAGGCAGGGCAATCGTTGAAAATGGACCGTCCGCATAAGGCATCAAGAATTTGAAGTGTCATAGGCGGTGCTCGGTTGGGTATCTCTACCGTTGTCCATGCTTTTAGCAAGCGCCAACTTCCTGGCAATTTCTTCTTCAGCGATGGATCACGATCCTGCAGTGCTGCTAAAGTATTGTTTGCCACGGACCTGCCTTCGCCGGAGGCCCAGAGATGTTCTAGGTAGTCACTGACCAACGCATCTAAACGAACTTGTTGTTTTGGGAGGGCGAGTCCCTCCCCTGCCATGCAGTCGAAGAAGCGGTTGAGACATTCTGTGTATCGTTGCCTTGTACGCGGCTGAACAGTAAGCCCTTTGAGAGAACCTAGTTTGCTTCGAACCTTCTTGCGCTCTTGTTGGCTTCTTCCTTCCATCACTTTCGTGGTTTCTTACCCATTTCTTTCGAAGGGGGCGGCGCGATGGCCGATCAGCGGGGTTCTGGTGGGTGTCCACGTAACCCCAAATACCGACAAGACCTCCTGCCAACTGAAGCGCTCCGATTCGACACAATGTTCTCCGTAATCTCCTGCTGGATGACCTTCCTCGAGACAAGGCATGCAACACAACCAAAGAATCAACCAAGTGCAAGAAACGACGCTCCTTCTCCTCAAGCTCCTTCAACCTCCAGACAATGGCAGTTTTAACCGCTCGTAGCTCCAATGCGTTAATGTGTTCAACGTCTCCCGTCCAGCGCCACCCTGCAACATCTTTCCACCGCCAGAGTTTGCTGGGGATGGATGCCCGCAAACGGTGATATCGCGCTGGGAGATCGGACCCCAGCTGGAGCAGGAGGTCCTCTCCCTTAACAGAGACTTGTCCCATCAAACGAGCAACCAAACCCTGCTGCACACTGCCTGCCTTTGTGGTTTGCCTCACCGGGGACCGGGGGCCTCATCAGGAGACTAGACAAGAACTGCTCGCGTCCAGGGGTCAAACGCTCTACCAGGGTGACAAGCTCCAACTTCGGCAACAATCCCAGTGTCCTAAACAGGCAATACAACAAGTAGGCGACCGCCGGAATTGACCAACTGTTCCCCAGAAGAGTCAGTCGACAGTCGTTGTGAGCCTTGCTCCCCTCCATGCTCTTGACCAGGCACCGCCGGGTGTAGTCGACTGGAAAGCCCAAGATCACCTCTCTTTCTTTGACTGACGGGACACGCAACTCTCCTTGCCGACTAGTGACGCAGTTCTCTGCCCAATACTGGTATGGTGGGAAGCGATGAAGGTCAGCCTTCCACCTAGCTACTGCCTCAGGGGGACAGAGGGCTAGTCCCGCTGGCCGGCGTCCTGGAACTGCTGAAGGTCAAGCTGTGGTGAACGTAGGAAACGGAGCGTCGGGGGGGGACTCGCTGCCATCCACTCTCCAGAAAGTCGCGTTCGTCCACTGTCACCTCAAGCTCTACCTTGCCTTTAATTGGGAGGCTACCTTCCCTCCCCTCAATTGGCGCCCTCAAGTCTCAACGGCTCCCAACTACACCAATACAGACGCGGTCGACGTGCCAAAGTCAGTCCGCCAGCGTCGATGCTCCAAGGCATATAGAGTCATAGGCTGCTGACATAGTCTGGCAATCGTTGGCATCCATCGAAGCAACGTTCTCAATGAGCCTGTGCACGGGGCACCAATTGAAATGCTCCCGGAGTAGTGCTTCCACCCTGGGACATGCTGGAACAAGCAGGACCGTTCGTCTCTCAACGCACCCTTCCGGTCCGAGTTTAACCCGGACACACCCTGGCAGGGTGGCCCAGCACCCAACAGCACATTCGCAAAGCGCAACCTCCACTCAAGGACAGCTTCATTGGTCACGCTTGCCACGTCTCCCACGCACACCACCTCAGGGAAAAACGACTCGACCACGCGATTGGCTTCTGGGGATATCTCCACTGAGACATAGCCCCCAACAGGCACGCGCAAGGCATCCAATGCAACTCCGAGGGCGCCTATCCCGTCGAAAAGCGATACCACCAACACCTGCTCCGGCTCCATCTCGTCAGGCTCCACGACATCTCCGCGACACTCAGCTTGGCATGCTGCAACACCGAAGGGACTAAGTTCTCTATTCACGCCGGTGGTGGAAGCATCGCTGGCCGTCACTAGCTCAGAAGTGGCCAGGCGGAAATCCATGTAGGCCAAAGGACTCAAGGCAACAAAGCGAAGCAACTCCAGCACGACTTCCCGCGGCAACGTCCTACGAGCCAACGGGCCCTTTGCACCCAACTCCGTGACCTGCTTCCACACTGCATTCAAACCGGACAACAACGACCTGCGGAACATTGCAATGTAGACAAAACCTCCTCCGACCACTTGCAATTCTCGTTGCGAAGCCTTGCCATCCACACAGATTTCTAATGCAAGTCGAACATACTTAGCTACCTTTTCCAACTTCGGAGTCGCTCGACCAAGCTCCCCATCTACCCAAGCGCCTTGGACCTCGGCCTGAACCTCCTGTGTGACTGCCTTCTTCAGATGCCGGGGTAGACCCAGCTGTTGATACGTTTCACGCACTGCCAACGACCAGGCTGACGGCTTTCCCGCTAAAGACTCTGCTAGCGTCTTGTCCACCTTGTTCAACTCGTCATAGTTGTCGAGATAGACCCTATACTGATGGGACGACGATCACGCCGGATTTCTTGCTGTTTTCCTGCCAGCTTTCTTTCACCCCCTATAGGGCCTGTTGAATAACACGACGATGGACATGTTGCGCAATTGCCACAGAGTTAATAAACCCCACGGGCAAGACCCTGCTAACAAGGTGCCAGCCCTTGCCTGTGTAGCCTGCTGGGAGGCCTTCTACAGGGACCTCCCTTCCAAACCCCATGAACCGGTGCCACTGAGGCGTCCGGAACAAATAAAAGAAGCACCGTATATCTTCGGATGATGTCAATAGCAGTTCACCATCAGCCAAGACTGTGCCAGACATCCCTGTAACCGTAGGTAAAGTCGAGGTGTCCCCCACTAAGTTTCGGCACAAGCCATTGGTTGGCACGAGGTTCATGATTAGCCTACATACCTCAAATTCTTCACCACCTTCATCCACTGCTTTCTCGCCCTTCTCTACCGCAAACAGCCCGTTCAGTACTGGACGCCCTTTAACATGATAGAGATCCTCCCTTTTCATGAGGCCACAAACCCCCCCGATCGACGAGTCCCAGGCACACCTCCGCCCAGTGCCCTTGGCTGACCATCGTGGCCGGCGTCTTTCCAAGGCTCTGATCCTGGGGCGGCAGGAGGAATTTCTCGAACTCCGAAACGTAAGACCTGGTGCCTCCATCACAGAAGCTCAACAAGTCCAATGACCCCACACCCTCAGGGAAGGCTGCTGCAATCATCTTCCATTGGAATGATCTTGCCACACGAACCTCCTCACCTGAATAATCAATGCCTTTTGTGGTGAAAAACTGCCCAAACGTAAGTGGGGGAAGAACGACACGGGGTAGGCCGCTGGTCTTAAGCACACCCCTCAACCGCTCCAGGATCCTCCACTGGACCTTTGAGACCTTCTGTCCTCCGGATGAGTCAACCCCATACAAACTGTTCAACCCTCTGATGAGCCCTTCAAACAATGGATCATCTTCTTCACACCATCCTACACTCCCTGGAAGTGGGAGAGGAAAGAGCCCCTCCGTGGACTGCCCGCAACGCGTGGTCTTTGTCAACGCATCCAGGGATTTTGATAGTGCAGGACTCATATCCTTCCACAAGCTTTCCTTTTTGGCGCAAGCGCTCTTCAAAGCCATCTGCCACGTTTCATGGCCTTCGTGCTCTGTCAAAAACTTCTGCAGGTTGGGAGAGCTTCTTTCTCTCCCCTGTGCCACTATGATTCCCCATTTTCTTTTCTCCTTTCCTTTGCCTTTCTCTCCTCCCTTCTGCTTGTAAGAGGGCTCTGAGGTAGGGACAGGTTTTCCTCGACCTTTGGGATGCGCTTCTCCTTCTCCACGGGAGCTCAAGCCATGCGGCCTATTGCCAATCGATCGGTTTCGGAACTCATCGCGCGCCGTCCTAGCTGCCTCCACTTGTTCAGCGGGACCCTTATCTGCTCGGCATTCACCAACTCCAGCTGCCTCGAAACTGAATAGTGACCACCTCGCAAGGTGGCTTCGAGCGACTTTGCACGTTGGACAAGGGTGTCCATGGCTGTCGCCACCTTCCTCCTGAGCAGCAAGTCGGTGACCTGAGCCACCGTCAGCAACTCCTGCAGCATCACCGGCCTTGCTAGAGGCTGCAAGTATTGGTGCGTGTACATACTGAACAGCGGGCTCAGTTGTTCTCTTGAGAGGCTGTGGAGTTCGCCCCTTGAGGATAGCAGGTGCTCCCGAACATTGTCGAGGGCCTGAGCTGTCAGCGCCCCCGGACACTTCTCACTCAATCGTCGAAGACGCCGTGTTTCTTCGAAGAGCGGTCCTTCCTCCTCCGACCCCTCATTGCCTTCTGACGTAGTCGATGACGAGGAACCTGAGTCACTGGAGTCCGACCGCTTGCGCTTCTTGTCCTTCTTCTTGTCGACCCTACGTGCCTTCTTCATCAATCGCTTCCGCCTGGGTACGTTGGGGTCTAAGCAGGTGTGGCTGAACAGTGCTCTGGCGGTCTTCTGTCCACGCTCCAACTCCTCGGTCTCTTCCTTCTTCTCCAGCATCTCGTCATAGGCCTTCTCCGCTGCACTCTCTTTCTTCTTCCTTTTCCTTCTGTCTTTCTTCTTTGCCTCACCTGCCGGGGGATCACCTCTGTCCTCTTTATCCTCTGGCTTGGGAGGCTTTTCGCCTCCCCTCCCTTTACCTCGCTCTATGGCCAGCTCTCGTAGTCCAGCTAACTCATCCACTTCCGCTTCACCTCCAGCCTTGGCCGGCATCAGGTTGGTGTGCCATGGCTTCGGTGCAACACTGCAATCCCAATAGCCTCGGCTGTGCATGTATAGGTGTCGCCGGTTGTCAACTGCGGGCATCCCGGCTGGCAGATGTGAACTTTGATCAACCGCGAACCGCCTCCTCCAAAGCGCTCCAAGACGCGGTCCGACATTGTCCCAGTCAGTTCGAACTCAACCTCCTCCTCTGCAGGCATCAACTTACGAATACGCCCGCAAACCTTGGCGTGCCCGCCGTAGTATGAAGTCTCACCCAACTCCACAATGTCTAAACTCCTCAACCTCTCCATTGTCAAAGATGCCAACGTGTTGTACTCTTCAGTCGGTGGCGTCTCCTCTTCATGGCCTTCCTCAGCCTCTGCACGGGCCGGCCTCCTCAACGGCCTCACTCTGCCGCCGGTCTCCTCATTTTGGGAGCCATTGCTCCCTTCTACCAGCGGTCTCTGTACTGCTTCCTCTCGTAGAGCTCCTGTTTTGCTCTTTTCGTGACCCCTTTGTTGGTGCTTTCTGTCCACCTTGGATGATGCGAGTAAGGTACCCGGCCTTGCCAACCTTTTCCTTGCGCACCTCCTCGACCTCCTCCAGACGCAACTGGGGGCGCCTTTGGGGGAGGGTGATCAGGTGTTCGTGGAGACCTGGCCTCACGACGGCTGGGTCTAGGTCGCAGATAGCTCTCCCTCTGGATGCCACTGCTGGGTCTTGCTCTTTTCTCCTCTTCTTCCTTCTCTGACTTATGGGAGGTGTGGTCCTCCCGTTTCTTCCTCCTCACAACTGACCCACTGACTGATCTCGAATTGCTATCTCTCTTCTTAGCCTTCCTCTTCTCTTTCTCCTTCTGGTACTTGGGAGTTCTAGATCGCTCCCTTGCTGGTCTCTCTTCTTCCTTTCTCCTGGGCAATGCTTTCTTCTCCTCACTGTGCTGAACTTCTTTGTCCTTTTCCGCCTTCTTCTCGTCCTCCACGGGTCTGTCAGATTCTTTCTTCTCCTCCTTTCCTCGTGCCTCGGGCTGCGGACTTCTCGATCTCCTCCTCTTCTTTTCCTTTGACTCTGCTTTGGGAGAAGCCTCTCCCTTTTCAGATTCTTCTTCTTCTTCCGGAAATAGACGGGCCACAGAGTAATATGCAGAGTCAAGTATCTCGGTGACTTTCGCTTCCGCCTCTAAGGTTGTCGGGAGACGGTCCGAGGATACGCCCGCAGTCAAGCGAGCGATCGAAGCGCACACCGTGCACTGGCCGCTAAGAAGTCTCCACTTCTTGCAGCTCGGGCACGTATGCATCACCTTTCGAGCCCAAAGCTACGTGGGAGATACACCTGATTCGTGTTTAGTTATGGGGACATTCAACCATTGCTTCAAACAGCAACAGCGAGCTGCAACTCGTTTGTCAAGTTTTGTGTTCGGCCTGCAAAGAGTTGCTGCATCATTAGCGGCTGCACGTACCACTGCCACCTGAGCAACAACACCGCTACAGTAGGCCTTTCTGGGGACATAAGGATTCTGAGAGCATCTCCGGATCACACTCTGGATTGATGATTGACGTGGGCGAGTCGGGCCTAGCACTTGGCTGATTTGCAATTTCTTATTACATATACTGTATATATAGTATATATATATACTCATTTACCAACTCACTTCTTGCACTGGCCTCCTTTCTCCCTACAAAGTGCCAGTAAAAATCAGTTCTGTGCCTTGTAATGGACAAGTATTGAGACGACAGAATGTCTGTCCCAATGCGCGCAGTGAGGAACTCATCGAGAAAACGGTTCACCTCACGAGTCGGCACCTATCCGGCCTCTTCTCTATGTCAAGGTGATGCGAGGCTTGTTACTTCTCATCTCCGGGTAAGTTTGTCCACAGTCTTTTTGGAAGGCACCAGTTGCATTACTTAATTCAAATCTCTTTGCACCTGCTCATCAGTGAAAGACTTGTTGGTTCGCACTGCTCGGGCACCCCTGAGATCACACAAAGACTCACCGTTCAAGAAAATCGCTGCAAAACGGCTTTGGGCACCCCAGCTTCACCACGTGAAACAACATATTGGCATTCCTTCTCTTGATGTCTTGCAGGGTACTTCGAAAGCTGTCCTGCTGGATTGACACAAACCCTGAAGGCAAGCATGGAAGCCACACCTTCCACCAACATTGCAAAGTCCTTGTCATCTTGGGTCAAAGCTCGAAGACGGCGAAATGCATCCGCATACAATGAGCCTTGGGTGAAACCCATAATTTCCGCCAAATGTCGAAAGTTGCTTTGATTCAGTAAATCAATTTAACGAGTAAATGCTTGATCCTTTCTGACCTACTCTGGCTCGCTTCAAACTTGTAAACTCTTGCAAATAGGTGCCAGGTAAGTGTGATGTCTGCGAGGAGCTGAGGAACTGATTTCATTTTGACTCGACATGACTCTGACATGGAAAAAAAACAAGAGCTCTTGGAGGTCCAGGCTGACCCGAGGTCAGCTGGATTCTCATGGTCTCTTGGAGCTGACCCGAGGTTCAGGCGAATCATTCGCATGGATGGGTAGCTCTTCCAGTTGGGAAGAGACTGGTGAGGCCGCTGATGGTTGCAGGATGTTGGGGGCAGCATGATGGAACTCTTAGAACTCTTCCATTTAGTAAGCTGCTTCAAGACTTGGAGGATCCTGAAAAGATCCCTACCGATTACCTAGGGGGGGCCGTCACCTAATTGTAAGTTACATTTTCCTAGGTTTGATACCTCAAAAATGTAACTTACAAATACTAATGTACCTGACAAATTGTCACTTACAATTGTCAGGCTTCTGAATTGGTCAGACATCCAATAGGCCAGAAAAATGTAACTTACATTTATCCAAAAATGTAAGTTGCATTTTTGAGGCTTCATTGAATAGTATGGCATTTCTCAACAGTCGGAGTTTACATTTTGGAGGCTATCATAGAACATTGTAGAACGAAGAAAAAATGCAAGTGGAAACTGTCTAGGTGTGTTTGTTTGCAGTTTCCACCACCTTTGCTCACTGTAAAGCTGTTTCCAATTACATGTTTGAAGCTATCATAGAACATCATAGAACAAAGAACATGTAAGTTAACAATGTTCAGGTATGTCTTCCTGCAGTTTCCACCACTGTTGTTCACTGTCAAGCTGTTTCAAATCACATTTTTGCAGGCAGTCAAAGGACATCTTAGAGGATAAACACAGAGACAGGGGGAGAGAAGAACAAATTTGAAGAAGTGCATCAAACATAAGTCCTCAAAACTCTTCAAACATCAAGGAAAGACATGCCAAATAGCCAACAATTAAAAACTAAACTTTCTCCACACATCCCACACCGAGAGATCCGAAAGGCCACGGGGAGGGTGTGCCACATCGGTTTCTCCCTGTGGCGGTCTCTCGAGGGAGAGACAACTTCGCCACAAGGGCGCCTAAGAAGCCCAAAGACCGGTCTCCCCCGGGGACAGTAAGGTACATCTTTTAACCGGCCCCCCAAAGTGAGTGGTTTGGGGGGGGGTTGATAAATGTATGTAAAGGTCTCCCACGTTCTAAGTTACATGTTTGAGCACCCCCCTCCAAAGGACGTCAAGGAGGGTTAACTTACAATAAAAAAGACCCCTAGGGGGCCCCAGAAAATGTAAGTTACATTTGTGACATCGCCCCCCTCAACTCCCTAGGTAAGGGGTAGGGATCTGAAAAGTAACTCTTCCACTTTCAAACATGCTGATTTCACTGGCATCTAAAAAGGAAAGGCATGCAGGCCAAAAGTACCTCATCAACTGCCAACTGTTGCTTATCCGCCAACTTCTCATGAGAGCATGCTGTGAAGCTCGTGATATCTGATACCTTGTGGAGCAAAGATTCAAAATGACATCCCTGCCCACGTCAAATATGCCTCAACAAGCTGTACGCGCCGAGCATACCTAATGGGTAGCTCCTGGAGCAAATGTTGAATGAAGCTGCAGGAGCAACAGAATGAGTTGGCGCAAATTACCGCAGAACGCTTGCCTCCAAAAGAAATGTCCGCAGTGCAGTGGGATCGGTGAGGTGGAGAATTTGTTGGAGCGTCATCTGCCAGAAGGTAGTTGCGTAATTACGCCCAAACTAGCGTAAAACATGAAAACCACACAGACCACATCACACCACAATTCCCTTACACCCCCAAAAGCGCAAATCAGCCAGGCTGACTGGATGTGGACGTAGAGCCCTAGCAAAATGCACCATCTCTGACTCCAAAAGCTCCTCAAATCTTTGCTTTGACACCTTAGACAGCTTCAAAGCACGTCTTGTAAACAAATTTGACGTCGGACCGGAGCATCGGTTGCAAAATCATCAGACTTGATTCTCCATGCCAACACAAAGCCTTTAGTTTAGTTATAGTACGTTGTAGCTGTATGAATATAAGATATAGTTTCTCCATAATGATTATGCAACTTAATGAAACACCAAGCAATCAATTTCTGGATGAGCCCTGCCTCAACTGTGCCTGGCAAAATTGACCCCGGAGTGAAACTGTGCGATGTTCGCACTGCCGATGCGGAGGGCACGCACGAAAACGGCCTGCCAGAGTGAAGCGCAGGCAGGCCGTTTGTGGTGTCGCTAATCTGTTGCGAACTGTGGAAGACGGATGCTTTGTATTGAGCACAAAAGCAGGTGATGTGACCTGATCATCTACAGGTTGCCTGCATAATTGCACATTATAACAAGCAAACAATATCTTCATCAGATTTTGTCAACCAGCATTTCTGGGGCATCCGAAACTTGCCTAAGTGCTGGAAGGCCAACATAGACCTGCAAGGTGGGAAATGTTGGGAAGATGTACGGAACGACGGAACACAGAACAATCGAATTCCAGGCCTGGTGGCACCACCTAGTACATCTGCACGCCAGGCGCTTCATTGAAGGCACCGGCCAAAAATTGAAAAGACTCTGCAGATCTGCAAGGAAAACTTTTGGCGCTTCACTTTGCACATTTAGAATACGCACGCTGCATAGACAGCTACCTGAGAACAAGGTAGCAAATGACCTGTCTATCTCCGAGAATAATAACCAAACTCAGCTTGTGTTGCTATTGAAGTATAAGTATAAGCAAGAAGAGCATTCTACACAAAATTTAACATCATCTCTGCCTGACCCTCCCTGTTTCTATTAGGTAAATCTACCAAATGCTTGCGCGGGCAAGCATCCTTGAGAATCGACAAGGGCATGGCAGCAAGCATGCTTCAAGTGTCTCAAAAGAACAACAATGCAACATCTCAACTCTAACCTGAAAAGCTCTCTTCAGATCTCCCAGCGTGTTTGGTCAGCAAATCATCTTTGTCCAGCCGGAGCTGAGCAGTGAAGATGCACCAAATTTGGACTGACCAATGCATGACAATTGCGTATCATTGGCATCTCAAAAAAAATCAATCATTGCTCCTAGTAGCGTCCTTGTTCCTAGTATATAGTAAGGCCAGGAGCCCCGAGTAGCGTCCTTGCTCCTAGTACCGATACCATTTGTTCCTAGTAGCATCACTACAAAGTACTTGTGGCAAGCATTTGAGTAAAACAAACAACCTTCATGATGCGAACTCAAACAAACCACGCTGTCATGCACTGGCCGCGTCGGGACTGTATATACAAGCTAATGTAATGTTGCTTCTTCAAATTAGCTTGCTAATGCACTGCTTTTGTGTTAGCAGTTTGTTAATTGCTGCCCATAGTCCTGACGATGGACCGGATGGACGGAGTACGCAACTCGTTGATAGGTTCCTACAAGAAAAGAAGGGCTTAGATAGATTAGATAGGTAACGAGTCCATTGATCAAACAAGGCATGCTTACTTTGAAGAAAGGGATCTCAAGCTTCAAATATAAGAGACATCAAAACTAAACTAAACCCAAGTCTGGGGATTTGGGACGCTTGCTGCACCATAAAGTACTGCTTCACTTGCGATAGAATCCGATAGAAGAACCGGGGAAGAATGAACGTGAATTTGTTGAAGGAATCGAAGGTGCTTGCCGGAGAAAGCTTCATTGACAGTCTGAGAGTAAATCAAATCGACAGAATCTCGAGTCAGTTCGAGTGTGATTCGTGATGGCCGGTCAAACGGCTTTCTTGATGCAAATCAAATGGATCAACACTGGGGAAGGGTGAGATAGTAAGACCATTTTCACCCCAGGAAGCAAGGACATCTACAAAGGCTCAAAGCAAAGGCTCCAATGAAGTGCCTAGAGAAAATGCTGGTGCAGGAAACCCCTGTTTGGCAAGAGTTGGAGGAGAACTGGAGAACTAACTCTTGTGGACAACACCTTGTTGAGCTGTTTGCGCATAATTAAGCAGTGGTCTGCACCTACGCCGCATAGTCTTGTTTCAATTGGTCGCATAGTCTTGTTTCAATTGGTCGCATCTTTTTAGTTGTTTCCATCTATGTCAAGCAATATTGAACGTGGCAAGTAAGACCACTGTGACCAAATGCGCAAATGTGCATTGCAAACCTGTGGTTGCTAGGTCAATCACAAGCAGTGTATAGAGTATAACATATATGTACGTATTAATATGTATTAATGTACGTCGACGTAAAATTCGGCTATGCTTGGCACAAAAACGATCTTGCTGGAATGTGCTGATAGAATAACCTTCTCACTTCCACAAAACTGTAAGGAAACATGGCAGTCTGTCGCAAATGATATCCTCTTCCACACTTGCCAGGACAGGTCTCGTTTGTCGAGTGCGCCTGGTTGCTCTGAATGCAAAACTCTTTCAACCAACAAACATGTCATGCTGGCCTGGGCTGTGCCTGGACGGCCTCGGCCGGAGCCAGCTCATGCAAAGTTCGTGCAGTGGACCAACACGTATACTCATGTACATGTATAGTTATAAATATAAATATGTTTATATATATATATATATACATATACATATACATATATATGTACACATAATTATATATATACTTGTTTTTAGCCACTGACATGTCGGGGTAGCACCGGTAACAAACTTCCTCGTGCGCTAAGCTTGTGGCATCTTCTCTGAGCACGGCGGCCATTTCTCGGCTACCTGAGGACTGCTTTTTTGCATCCAGGAAAAGACACATCTCTATATGTACAATTATATTTGGTTCGCTGTTCTGACTTCTTTCCTTCGGGCCTTTGATAACTGTTCGCCATTGTGACTTGCATTGACAAACACTGACGGCTTGGTTCCTCACTTGCATTGGCCAGGCGATGATGGACAAAGCTCGCCCCAAAGGCAGGCCTTTGCGTAATGCAGTCTTATCTAGTCTCAGTGTCTTCCACTGCTAATGCTTGCTTTTGATTGATTCAGCACAACAGCAGGCTTGAGATTGAAACGTCAGCATGAAGCTACCTGGAGCGTCCTGCCTTGGCAGCAATACGAATGCGAGACGAATCAAAGGTGGAATATCAAGCAAGTTCCATTGGAGAAAATCATTATGGACGAGTACTGTCCGCTGCCGTTCACCTAATCTTGTCAATGTTTCCTGAGAACGCTTCAAGACAGAATGAAATGCATCTGAAGAGCGTATCAAACGATGATGCGAAAGATGGTGCTGGCCGGCAGCTGGCACAGTCCAGCTTCCCTGACAAGGCAATAGACAGGAAACATATACAAAGCAACCTTCTGGCAGGCAGCAACTCATATTTGACATCAAACTGCCCAAACAAAATCCTTTTCTTTTTCCCAAATGACGAGCAATGAATCTACCCAATGCGTGCAGTGCCTTATCTCATTTCAAATGCTCCTCGTCGTTGCTTTACTATCTCGATCCCTTAATCAACAACTTTCCAGGTGACTAATAAATGAATCAACAAACAACTGGATACACAGGGCATTCTAATTTACTTGTTGTTTGCAGTGGTCACCGTGAAGGACGCTTCTGTCATTTTCAGTCACTGTCCCGGTGTCCCGTGCATGACACCGGCATCAGTTGAAGCTCCACAAGACTCCTTTTGGGACAACCAAGACGTTCAAGTGACTGCACTTGAATCATGCACTCATGATCAAGGCTGCTTAGCCAGCCAAATCCAAAAAGTAAATTGGAACTTCAATCAACTCTACCCACATGCTTCCTTGCCACGCATGCTTCTTTGAGCACAATTCATCTGAGCTCTCATTGCACTGACTTCCAATCTATGCACCCATGCCTCAGTCAGCATGAAGCATGCAGCAACAAAATGTGTTCAGTATGTTTCAAGATGTCCAAACTTTTGGACAACGTGAGAAATCAAGAGTATGGCTGCTGCAGTATGGCTCCTTTTTTGTCATCTTTCTCAGTGCCGCTGCATGTCCTGATCAGATCTTCTCAGTTGCCCTTGCCGCCACCCTTGCCCATGGGGGGCTTGTAGATGCGGCCTTCTGGGCTTGCTCGCAAAACCTTGTTCCGCACACGAACAATGCGGCCGTGGATAGCACATGAGACGCAATAGAGCATCTTCATGTAGAGCTTGGGGAGCATGAAGGTTTGGTAGACGCTCGCCTCCCTCAAGTCTCGCTGCGATGACGCATCCACCATGTTCCTCACCTGGCAGTTCAATTTTGACTAAGAATCACACGACATGTCCGTGTGTATGTATATATATAATATTGACTAACAGCCAGCTGCTTTTGTTGTCTTTTTGAGCGCCAAGACCTCTTTCATCATTTTCATCCCTCATGTCTGGTTTTCCCTTTGGAGTGCCTGAAAGCGCTTGATGGCCTTATCCTTTGGCACGCAACGGCAGCAGTTGGAGCAGCGCACAATGGCCGTGTGCCCACGGCCATGCTTGGAGCGACCATTGTTTCGCCGCTTGGACGGCATGCTTGAAAGGTGTCTCTTGGCACTGGGAACGACCTACAAGAATCCTGAAAGAGCACAAGTAGCGAGACGCATCAACATCAACCCAAAGGATATATTTGGTAGAAGACTTTGGCATTTGGTAAACAATGCAACAATGCACGCTGCCAATAGGGCCTGGACGAATCCCATGTCTTGTGACGCTCCCTTCCCATAGCTACCATAGCACAAACACAGAAACACCACGCGCATCCAATGCAGGCAGCATGCAGTGTCGAGGGCGATGCAATACACCTCAACTTCAAAATGGGTCAAGTAGGCCATGCAGCTCAATCCAGCTGGTCAAACATCTTTTGGGTTTTTAGGGCACTCACTATTTACATTGTATTTACAACTGTCTGTCAACTGTTTGGACCAGTACAACATACACACCATTGAGCAAATGCTCTTGGTTGAAAAAACGCCTCAATTGCTTTTCGCAGAAAAGCTATAGCAATGTCATGCCCATGGAAGGTTCAAACTATGCACATCTAATCACATCTAAAGAAATCGTGTCAAATCTAGCCCCTGTGAGCTGATCTGAGGTTTTGGCTCCACACTGTCGGAATACAAAGCAGCCACAAAACAAATACATAGTCAGTTCAGGTCTCTTGTCTTTATCCTAACTTTTGCGACTTTGAGCTGAAACGCTAGATAAAGCCTGCACTCCTACCCTATCTTTACTCATTGCGTGCTTTCTTGAGCCAGAAAGCTGTGGAGTCGTGTCAAATCTCAATATGCTAACTGGCGATTGTCTGCTGGATACAATTGTTGCAATTCCTTCTGATGAAGCTCAAATCAATCAATCCAGCCTTCGACGATGGCCTCACAAGTTTTTAACATTTCATGCAAGCTTGCTGTAAGAAAAGAAAGACAAACTATTTGGCAATGTTGAAAAGGGCCCAACTTCAATCTCTTTATGCAGGCAATTGAGCCAAGGACGTGTACAACTTCCAACGTACCATCTGCAAGATCACGCACTCTCTCGGCCACGCACTGCATTCCTGGGCGACATCCACGGACGGGGATTCCATCCGATTCCGGAACCTGAGCAAACCCAAGGAGCTCACCCTGTTTGACGGCGGAGACGCCTCGAGGTAGTCGATCGATCCTGCAGTCAGGGTCAAGCGCTCCTGAGTCAGTCCTCTGTGGTACAGTACACGCACCACCACTGAGTCGCGTGCCATGCTGGAATGCCCCCGACACCTCTAACGGCTGTTCATCCGTGCTGCTCAAGTCAGTTGTCGGGCCAAGCTGCCAAGCCTAGCTTTCGGCAAAAGGCATTGGCAAAGGACAAGCAATTGTTGTTGAGCCAGTGATAGTCCTGCCGCACTGTGTGTACCCTTAACTTATCTCAACATATCTCAACATGCTTTTCAACGAGATATAGCGAAAGTGAAGGTTTGCAATGATTTGCAGCTGTGCCAGTTGGCAGTTCAGCCAGTCCTCTCCGCGCCAAACCTCCACCAAGTCCCCCAGCACGAGCGCAACCTGAGGGATCTGTGGCTTTTGTGTTTTCGAAGTCACAACTTGATAACACAAGTGTTTTCTCGGAGGAACCTCTGCCTTGGTAAGGCGTGTGTAGCCCAGAGGGATGGACTCTCGATACCTCAAGAGAGGAACCAACAAAAACTGCAGCAGAAGTCTTTGCAAAGCTGCAGGAACAAGAAGCTACTAGGTTGGAGGCCATCGCTATTAGGTTGGAGGTCATTACTACTAGTAACAAGAAGCTACTAGTAACAAAGGGCATCGCTACTAGGAGCAAGGACGCTACTAGTAGCTCCTGGCATTACTACTAGTTACTAGTAACAAGAAGCAGCAAGAGTTAAAATCGAAGTCCCGGGCCGATGCTTCCGGTTGGTCCGCGGAACTTCACAGACGATACCCGTTCCACTACCTGGCGTAGCAGGGCGACTCCAACTCAAGAGAGACTAAGAAACAATGAAAGAAAAGGAGTCAAACAAATGGTTAAACAAATCATACTCACCAAGTCGAGCAGACTTTGCTTTGAGACACGTTTTACCCAAGAATCTGACAGTCTGACACCCCACTCATTTCAGACTGCACTGACTCTCCCAGCCTGAGGACCCTCCATAACTCCATTCTCGTCCGTAGACCTTTGACGACAAGCTACAAATGGATGATTGCGGAACTGTAGATTGAAAGGAATTCCACGACGTTATTTCAACTCATTTAGTTTTATTCTGCCTATTTGGTGCAGACTACATGCGCTGTATCTTCGACGTTGAATAATATACACCCTTTGTCCCTTTGTTACAGGTCAAAGCCTTTCACCCCAAGAGTGTGCACGTGGGGAAGCTCACCACTTGTGCTTTTGTGTAGAAGTTGGACCTAACGCCCTTATAGACTTGCTTCCCAAGCGCAGTGCAGTCCGGAGCGTGGGTTGGTAGGACTATGCGTCAGCAGTGTCCGACCTACAAAGACTTTGTGACGTACAAATATGCTATATATTAGAGAAGGGGGGGACGAAAGCCAGCAGCCTTTTTTTGGCGGGCGTCGCGGCGCAAGACACATGGTCGGCAGCTTGCGAGTCAGCAGTGCTGCGGATGCGCGGGGGTGATGGAGGGAGCAGAGAAGCAAGCCGGGCGGCTTTGGGATGAGTTTGGTATGAAAGAAGTAGCGAAAGAGAAGTGCGATACGTTGTATGTTGGTGTAGGTCATCATCACAATGCAATGGCATGTGTTTGTCACACGCAGGAAGGTATGCGCCTCATAGAAGTTGGAAGGCGACATCAGCGTTAGCGAAGGGGAAATACCATCTGAGTTCGAGTGGTGGGATACCACGTGCGCGCATCAGCGTCGCCGCGCGGGCGCGGCGCGCGCACACGCCAGTATGGCGTGGATGTGTTTGTTACGTTTGGAGTGTTTGAAGTTTGCAATGCATACTGCGGCGCGTCGAAAAAAGCGGCATTCGTGGATATGGAAGAGTGAACGGGCGCGTCTTAGCCGGGACACGGACGTTTGATCCCGCGGCGCAGAAGGGGAGGTCGCGCGGGAGTAGCATGGGCCAGCAAAGGAGTGAGGATTTGTGTGTCTATCGATGCACATGCCTGGACTTGAGTGAGTCATGTCCTGGGTCGATCCAAAACACAGTCTTTTTCCTTTAAAGGGGCCTTTATTAAACGATCCAAACACCTTCTTTATTCTTCTCTTTCTTATCAACTCTGCGCTTTTCTCACTCAGAGGCCTTGACTTTGGCACCTGCGTGTGCAGATCTTTGGGCAGTGGAGCCAGGCTGACTGGATTCGCAAAAATATCTCTATCTCTCTATCCATCTATGTATCCATATATGTATCTATCTATCTATCTGTACCGACAAGCCGGAAAAAATGTTCGGTGCGTGTGGACGCCGCGAGAAGTATCCACTCGACTGAGGACATGGTGCAAGTATAGGAACCCTATGCGGATATGTAGTCAACCTCGAAACTCAATCCAAAATCATGGACTTGAACTCATGTCACTTTCGGTTCTCTATGGACTTCGCGAGTTACGGGTTGTCCTGGGAACTCAAGTCCTACATGCGGCGGCGGTCTGCTCTGTACGTGGGTCCCTGTCTCCACTCCATTGCATCACTCGCATCACCAGACCCCATTTTCACTGCTTTTCTGACCCTCGCTTTGGAGCGCTCTCCCCCACCAAGCTCCGGGTTCGCCCTCTCAAATTGTGCCTTTTCACGACCTCCCCCCCCACACCCCCTTAACTCACTTCGTTCGCTCTAAAAGCTCAAGCCTAGCCTATCGGCTGGCTTTCGTATAATTATATATAACCATATTGTGTATAAATCTCCAATCATATACACATATGTATAGGATTATATACGGTACGTTCACAGACGTGTATTCCTAAAGGTCAAGTTCCTCTAGAAATCTAGGAACCAAATCATTAGTGCGAGCGCTTCTTCAAGGAAGCTCTCCTCGTTACTACAAGCTAACTAGGAGCGAACTTGAGCTTACTCAATTAAGATCAATTAAGTAGCTGAATTAAGTGAGGAGGGCCACAGGCTGTAACCGGAGCTCACTCGAGAGCCTCCACACCAGCATGAAGTGCTCCACCGAGCGGAAGCAGTTCTGACCTCACGAATGTGAGTTCTTCCTAGGGCACTCAAAGAGAGGAAAGGACAGGAAGAAGGATGAAGAAGGTAAGGCCGTTTTACACACAACCTACCTTCTTGTCTGCTTGATGTTTGAATGCCGTAGGATCAAACGTACTGTTGCTGCAGGTGATACGGGGTGTTCAATATCAATGTAACTCGGGTGCGCAACGCGAGGATCTTGTTCACTCGCACAAACCTTAGGCTGAGAAGCTGCGGATCCGGTGCCAGAGTTAATTGCCGCATGTAAACCTGGCTATCTCGGGCTTGGGTGGAGGCTCGAAGAGTTCGTAGACATGCAGCAAGACCTCATTCGGGACTTCTGCATTCAATTGCGTCGCGTGCTGGAATCCTCTCGCTGGACAAAGTATGACTTGCTTGAACACGGAAAAAGTTGCAAAACGTGATGGGCGAGAAGTCTGATTCAAGGGCATCATCCACTGCAAAACAACCATCACGAGCCTGGCTCCCAGAGAAGACTTCAGCAGGATGGGCTATGTATACCTACAAGTAGCCAGCCAATCCCCAATCACTGGACACTACCCCAATCAATCAAAGGTTCCATTTGGTGTTCCTGCGATTCCTTCTCATCGAGTGTCCCGATCCTATGTATCACAGGAAAATAGCACAATCTGTTTGCCTTGAAGTGGAACTGCCTTGTATTGCGGATTTGATGTCTGTCAGAACTCAGCAACTTTTGCATTCAATTAGCCTCCTTGAAGCAGTGGCTTGCTTGTCTCAGGCAGCTGGCATCCTGGAAATGGTCCTGCGGAGTGCTAGAAGCATCCCACTGTTTACCACTGTGACTGAGAACCTGTATGCTGGTAATTCTCTACTGATTGCCAAGTGCAAGACTGAACTCACACATGCAGTTCATACAATGAAGGCTTCTCCTCCACAAAGCTACCAGATCTTGGTAA